CTATGAGGTGATTTCAACTTACCAGACATCAACTGGGATAACTATGCCATCAATGGTGACCAAACATCAATGGTTCACAAACATCAAGGGAGAAAAACAACGCTTTCATGCAGATGTCTGTCGAACTAAACCTGCAGCAAGTATAAGATAAGATTTATTGATCCCAATTTGGGGCCCCTCAGGGCATACAAGTAAAGAATTATATACACAAGAAGAAATTCAAAATTGATAGTAACAACATGTCGATATTAAGAGAAAAGAAAAGAAACTAACTAAAGAAGATGATGATGATTATAGCAGATGGGGATTAGTTGCTATCCCAACCAGAGGAGAGATCATCCTGGATCTACTTCTAACATCCCATCCTGGACAACTTAGTCAGTGCAAGACTACTCCGCTGCTCGGAAACAGCGATCATGATGTGATACTCCTAGATTTCACAACACACATAACTCGACCGAGACCAAAGAGGAGAACCATCTTTGGAAGAAAGCCAATATCAACGGCATCAGAGATAAGCTACTAAGCCAAGTAGATACCTTCACGCACACCAACTTTGAAGATGTCAAATCAAAGATCTCATATTAGGAGGTATAAAACGTTATGTACCATCTCGTCGCACACTGGCTAAACATACTCACCCATGGATGGCCTCTGAGCTAAGACGCCTTAGCAAGCCTATAAACGTGCTAAGCGCAGCAATGGCCCAAAAGATGTGAAGCGATACAAGGCACTCAAAGGGCAACTACAGAGGGATTCCAGGAGAGCACATAGAGCTTACTTGGAGGAAGTCGTCAGCGATGACCTGCGTACCAATCCAAAACAGTTTTGGACGTACATATGTATATCAAAAAGAGGAAGCAGGATTCATCCCAGATAGTGACATTGAAGTCCACAGACGGATTTCTCCGCATTGCAGCGACACTGCCGGTAAAGATTCAATCCTTAATGAGCAGTTTCAGTCTGTCTGTACCCGGGAGGATTTAAGTACTCTACGTGATCTAGGACCAAGCCCTTTCCCTACTATGGACAACATATCCATTTATGAGATGGGAATATTGAAATTACCAAAGGGACTGCGCCCATTCAAAGCTACTGGACCCGATGAAATTCCAGCTTTTAGCTTGAAGCAAAGCGCAGAGTCCATAGCCCCATATCTGACAAGGATGTTCAGTTTTTCCTTAGATCATGGTCAGATACCAGATGAATGGCGCAGAGCAAACATCGTCTCTATTCATGTATACAAGAAAGGGGAGACACATCAACTATCAAACTACAGGCCTGTCTCCCTAACTTCAAAAGCCTGCAAAAGTGCAAACTCTTGGAACATGTTGTACACAGCGATCGGAACAACATCCTCCGCGATGAGCAACATGGCTTCCGTGCCCGCCAATCATGTGAGACACGACTTGTCATAACACTGGACCAGATAGCCAGAAATATGGACTATGGGTACCAGACAGACATTATACTAATGGACTTTTCAAAGACTTTGATAAAGTCCCTCACCAACGTCTTCTACTGAAGTTGGAGCATTACGGAGTGTCAGGCACCACCCTGAGCTGGATTAAGGACTTCTTAAGTCGTAGAACCCAATCAGTTGTTCTGGATGGACATACATCTTCACCGCTGGATGTCCTCTCCGAAGTACATGTACCACAAGGAACCGTTCCTATTCCTGACCTACATTAATGACCAATTCAGACGCCAGACTGTTTGCAGATGATTGATTCGTCTGTCGTCAGATCCGAATCAGAGAGATGCAGTCAAGTTACAGGAAGATCTAACTGCCTGAAAGGGGTGGGAAAAGAAGTAACAGATGTGTTTCCACACTGAAAAGTGCACGGTTATTCGGATATCCAACAAAAGGCAGCCACTGCAAACATCATATACCTTGCATGGGCATCATTTTGAATTTACTAGGGGGGGGGGGGGGGGTAAATGCCAAATGTACAACATGATAGTAAATTTTGCATTTACCTCCCCCTAGTAAATTCAAAATTTTCTACATGATAATCAGCTAGAAGTGGTGGAGAGATTGTTATAGATAGTTTTGAATTTCTTAAATTGCAAAACTTTAATGTAACAAATATATAAAAAGAAAAACGGTAATGAAAAGCTTGAAGTCTACACTATCTATATTTAAATCCTCAATAATTTTTGAGTTGAGGCTCTTTCAATTATCAGAAAGTTGTATATTTTACATGGTTTGATTTTGATTTTGATTTTTTTTTTAAATTATCATTATAATTTTTTTCATCTTTACAGCCAAAGATTTTTTACCCACTCCGCTGGATCGAAAACACCGTGAATTGCAAAGATATATACGATTTATTTATTTACCGGTATATTTTGTGGTGGTGTTGTGATTAATTCGCACAATTACTACGTGGAACCTATTATAAAATCCATTAAAGTCGCCTATGTGACCCAGTGGTTAGACTGTTCGCACGAAAAAGATCCCTCACTGTTCAATTGCCATAAACTACATGTTCTTGTGCCGAATACAGGTCTAAATCTGCACCTTTTCATTGGAATACTGGCGTCCCAACATGAGTGGAAAATTCTCGAAGGAAAGTAAAGCCCCAAACAAACAAAAAATATACAAAAATGGACTTTGTTGTGTAAAATCTTCAAAAATAGTCAGTGAAGATATTTGTAGAAAAAGCTCACTTTTAATTCAAACCCCCAAAAATGCATTGTCGAGTATTTTGGAAACATTCTGCAATGAAAAAAACATCTCTTTGTTTAACGGACATTTACCTTTAGAATGTTTTCATGTTCTTATTTAGCCTTTCAGAAGCTTCAAATTGCCTGTTTTGAAAGATATAAGGGAATTGTCTTCACAATTTTAATGACAATATCGAAGCAAAGTTGTTGATTATTTATGACGTCATAATCAAAATATGTCCCATTGTGACGTCAAAAATAGTTTCTTTGTTGTTAGACACAGTCATTGGCGCTCTGTAAAGATCATGGGTCTTCTTCAGAGTTGTTTTGCCAGAAATAACAAAGTGGGTGTGATGAAGGAAGAGATGGAGGCGTACGAGAAAGTACGACGTACAATGGTTACAGAGGAAGTAACAGAAAAGAAAGGCGGTGTGGCCTTTGATCTCACCTTCGTTTCAGAGGAAACCCCGAAGAGGGCTCCAGCCAGATTGCTTGAAAACAAAAAGGAGGACTTTGAGAAATGGAGAGGTAGGTGTATAACAATTCAATATGAGTCAATTTCAACAAAAAAAGCTTCTTTGCCTGAGGTACTCCATAAGATCAGCTAAGTATCTATTTGCTCTAAGTAACTGAAATACTGATGTAGATATCATATCAAGATATGGTTATGACTTGAAAAAGATTTCGTACAGTATTTATAACAATTTCAAAGAATTTTGATATTGATCTTCTTTCTTTCTGTTTAACAGAATCTCAGGAAAAGACACAGGCCGAGAAACAGGAGCGGGCACAACAGAATAGAGAGGAAGCCCGTATCCAGAAAGAGATTGAAGTGGCCCACAAGGAGATGGAGAGGCTCGAGAAATATGTCAACATCGCTGCCGAATAAATTGGATCTGAACTCTGGCTAAATTTATTTCCACAATAATTTTGAAGCTTGTAATTTAAAAGATTGGGACCAAAGAGGGGACACCCGAGCTCTTTATCTGTTGTGCAATTGTTTGGCTTTTAATTCTATTTATCACTATTTTGGCTTCTATTTTTTTTTCTTGAATTTTTTTTTTCGCAGTGTGGGCCTTGGTGACAGATCTGAGGCTAGCATTGCGAAAACAAAATTTAATTATTCCAAAAATGTTCACGTCTTTCGGAACTTTGGTCCTGAAAATACCCATTCCGTCAGAGATCAGGAATGGGTATTACGTTGGAACACCCATCCCGTCAGTGATCAGGGATGGGAGTTCCTCGTCAAAAATTTCTAAATTGTAAATGAAACATCCGTTTAGAGATGTCCAAAAGCTCCGTTGTCCTCTCTTTTCAAAATTCTTCCAATGTTTAATAAACTAATTATTTGCAAGCACAGTATCGTGTTTTTCTTTTTCTTTTTTTTGAAAAAAGTTTAGTCTTAAATGCATTTAACTGGTGCCAGATACTACATAATGTAGTTCAATATATTGAACTATGTGTGTCTACAGATGTGAGATGAAGTTGCAGTGTGACATAAAATACATTCAAGTCTTACTTCAATGTCTTGAAAAACTGGCATATCTTGAATTTTGTTTTCATTCCTGCCATGTTAGTGTTTTTAATTTTTTTTCAAATGTTAGCTCATGATTGTGTTTTTCATCTCCAGTATGAAAATTTAGCTTTGGTATGAAGGGAATCGTCACTTCAGGTTTCTTTCAATTATTATTCCATCAGAAATATGTATAATTTTGATTTTATGAATAACTTTTTTTTAAATTAAGATTTTTTTTTCATCCGAGTATACAGCCAAGGCGTTTCATGCGCGGATCTAGAGGGGGTCGGGGGTCCGGTGACCCCCTGGAATTTGCAGTTATTTATAAAAGTATATACTGAAGCAAATAAAAAATGACTTTGGACCCCCCCCCTCCCCAGAAAACGTGGACACCACCACGAATTAGGTATTTTTCACGTTTGGGAAATTGTTTGCTTGTCAAGAAATTTCTGGGTTGAAAATTTTTTTTGACTGGGGTGGACCCCCCCCCCCCCCCACCCCCGGAAAAAAAATCCTTGATCCGCGAATGCGTTTTGATACACTCTGCTGGATCGAAAACCCGTGAATTGCGAAGATATATAATTTATGATATATTTACCGGATTTTTTATGTTGTTTTTGTTGTTAATCTAGGGTATATAATTCGCATAAATGGTAATATTATACACGATCACACGAAGTACTAAGTCGCAAAGTATTTAATTGTTTCCGGAATCCTGGAAGTTGATTCCATTACGATTTTATCTTTTACGCTCGCAGATATGGTTGATTGCATTCATATCCCAACAAATGAAATGGAATGGTGAAAGACGAAGGAAAGCTAAAAATGGGGAAATAGCAATGTTGTGAATTTTGGAAGATTTTAAATGATGAATTTGCCGGCAGCTCTTGCTCTGTGTGCAGTAATTTTTGGTAAGCCGATGCAATTATTTTTATTAAATTTCTGTTTTCGCTAAAACGCACTAAAGCGTTATGGCTTTGCAACTTACTGGCAGTTATGCAGCACAGGTTGCTAGATCCCTGAATATATGAAGGGGATTGATTTTGGGTAGAACTTTTCCAGTTTACATGTTTTGATCAACACGAGACCAGACCAGAAACCAACACAAGGCAAACCTGAAGCACATTGAGACAATGGCATCGTACTGTAGAACACAAAAGCAAAAATTTTGTTGGTTGAAAATCTGTATAATTTAATATCCACCCTGAACCTGGTGACAACATATCATTAATCACATCACATCATAGTAATCGATAGACTCTCCATGATCATAGTGATTGGTAGACTGATTACAGCATAAGAATTGTACAGAGCTTCTTATGAAGAATATTGCATATTAGTTACGGTGCAGTCATGATTTGTCATTAGAAGTTAAAAGAAAGTTGTTCTTATGTCAGATATACAATCAGAAGCAAGTTGTGCTATAAAATTCCAATAACTGAACTACTGGAGGCTTATAAATGTTTTTTTTTTTACCGGGTTTCTGTATAACAATTGGAATTGCTTGATAAGTGTTCAGATTCATTTAAATTTGAGATATGTCCCACCTACATATCTACATTAATTTATGGCAATTTGTTCATTAAAACTTTTTTGAATGCAAAGTAGAGTTCATTAACTCTAATAACAATTAAAATAGTTAATTGTTCTGAATTGAAACTCTTTTTTATAAGGGGGTTAGAAAATTTTATCCTTTGAAATTATATAGGCATTAAAACATCCTGAGATTTTAAAATACTCATGGATATGGATAAAAGATCATTAAATCTTTCTGTGTGTTTAACTTTAATATGTAAAATTCAATATAAAAAATATACATATAAAAGCACAATTTCCTGGTAAAAATCTCATTAAAAATTGTAATGATCATTTTCACCATATTTTTGTCTGAAGATTTTTAAAAAATATTTTCCATTGATTTTTATAGTGAAAAACACAAGTTTTACCAAATTTATATACTTATATCCCCCTCCCCCCCCCCCCCCCCCCAATATGTTATATATTGTGAAAATTCATATATTAAATATCTATTATAAATGTGAAAAAATCATTCATATGTGTTAACTTTTGAAAATTGACTTGGAGGTAGGTGGCAGAACAAAACTATCATTTGTAGTTCTTCCTTCCAAACTTTAATATATTGGAGGGGGTGGGGAGGCATGGGTAAAGGAGGAGGAGACATGTTGATGGAGAAAAAGGGGTGGATTGAATTGGTATGTATGTAAGAGGCAGACGGGAATGTGACGTTATTATATTGAATACATTCATTCTTGTGTCCCGCCGAAAAAACAATGATTTCAAATCATTGAAAAAGTCAAAAAACTTAAATTTCATGTTTAAAAAGGGTTTACTTATATGGTTCCTAAAAATTATTATTCATTGTTACTGTTATTTTTCAGCAAGGTATATTAGTACTAACATTTCATATTTTCATTATGTTCACTGAAAAATTAAACACCAAGGAACTTTGGGATTTTGGGTTGGAAAGAAAGCATTAACGAAAAAAGAAAATGAAATAATCTGTCCAAGGGTTTTATCTGTAGATCAAAGTGAATAAAGCATGAATTTGAATGTCTTTCAAACTTTTGATGTGTATATTAGTTATAATATACCAGAATTAGAACATATAGCTGTTGCTCCTGGCTTCTTTAGAAAGATGACTGTTGAATCATCATGCATGTGTACAATTATGAATTGTTCATTTTCAACATTTCATGAATATCCTAGAATAAATTTCCAAAAATAAATTCCATGTAGCATACAAAAGTTCTTCTTGTAAGAATGATACAAGACAGATGCATGTATAGCAGTGTTTTGTAAGGATGCTTCTTGTACTTAGTTCGGGAAAGAGGGAGAGTAAATAGAAGCAGATAAAAGAATGAAAAATAAGATCGTTGATTTAAATTTCAAATATCTGCAATGTTTTGAAGAGAAAGCACTTTGTTTTATTTGAAGGACATGTTTAATAAGCACTGTCTAAATATATGTTTGTAAAAATTACATATTGTTTAAAAGTTCCAAAGAAACAAACGTAATATGGTTTTATTGGGATTATTCTGGTATTATCATAGATTTCCAAGTACAATACAAAATGTTTACAATGTGAAAATAGAAATAAATTACATTAAATTATGACTAGAGATCTCTTAGTATTCTAAGGTACTGTAGAGTTAAGAAGTGACAAAAACTGTCAAATATGGGGACATTTCACTGGCAAGATTAAATTCATTTGTTTTTAATTTTGAGGAAATTTGCTGCCATATTCATTAGAAATGAATCCATTTTAGACTGAAATTAAAAGTTTATGAGCACTTTTGCCCTTGTGTGTAAAATGGTAAAGCTAAAGTGTCATCAGAGAGTTATAATTTATAAGCTGCCAACAGTATAATTTATTTTTTAAGTGTGGCAAACTACAAGACTGTTTTCCGTAGACTCGGGCCCTTTCATTATTTGTCAAAGGTATCCCATCACATTTTGAAATGCTCCCTGCAAAAAATTTAACTCAATTTTTTTGCATTACTTCATATTTTTATCTCGTCATAGGAATCTGGACACACTCTCACATGTCAAAAGATGAAAAGGTAGTTCTAGAGAAGATATGAATTGAGTCCGTCATCCTTAAATGCTTCCATTACATTGTGCACACATGCTTCTATCAGATGCTCCCAATTAAAATTTTTCCTTGGTGAACCTTCAGCTGGTTAAAGTAAACAAAGTTAAATGTGCTCTTGATCTGTGGACTTATAAATTAGTTTCAGGAAGTATGTAGCAAGAATTTTTTTCTTATCAGCTGGGTTATTTCTTCAGTGGCCATCTCTGATGTGTCGTCTTTTAAGTTACCGTGTCTATCGATTGCATCTGGAGTACTGGAGTCATCTCTTTTTAGCATATACTGGGGAAAGACTTGAAATTAAAAAAAAGAAAATGTAAGATTTAGTAGATAATTTAGTTGATAATTTCTTGTATTCTTTTATCAATTGAATATATATAAAAACATCAAGCTTCTATATGCAGCTGTGGTATGTACATGTATACATGTCATCTTTGGTTTACATATATACAGTAAAACTTGTCAGATCCAGATGTTGTGTATTCCAAAATTTGCCCATTATATTTTATTTACATGTATACAGAAAACATGTCAGATCCAAATACATGTATTGTGTATTCCAAAATCTTGACCATTTATATTTTACAGTGAAAACTTTAAGTCCCTTTCAGTGAATTAATTTTGTTTTAAATGTTGTGTAGTCTGCGCTGCATGCCCACAATTTTTTGCTGTTGTTGTTGTTGAAACAATAGTGATGTCTGGACTAGAAACTTTTTACTATACTGCATTATAATTACAATATACAGTTAAACTGTCTTTCATGTATTAGATCAGTTTTTACGCTTTTTTAGAAACTTACTCCGACATGTATGTATATTTATATATATTTTTAATTCACAGTTAAAACATGATTAAACATTGAATTCTGAAGAATTTTTTTTATATTTTGAAGAACAGAGATATCACTGAATAATTATCTAGCTTGCTGCAGCAAGATTCAGAGCCTGAATTGACCCTTTGATCATCATGTGTCAATTTATCATTTATTCAAGCAGTGCCTTATCACTGTATTTTACAGCTGAATGATTGAAATTAATTTATAAAAGTGGTTGTATATTTGAATCTGTGTACTTGATTTCAGAACTGTTATTATGTACTTTGTACATTAACACTGATAAATTATGCTAAATGTTTTGCAAAATATAATACATCTATCATGCACAGATCTAGATGGAATGGGGGACTCACCCCCTGGGATTTTCAGAGATATTAAACTTCTATTATGATAATTAAAAGTAACAAAGAATGACATACATGTACACCCCCCCCCCCCAAGAAACATTTTGGGGGCAGGTAACCCACCCCCACCCCCCACCCCAGATAGGTTTTGCATTTGGATAATTTCTGAGTCAAATCATTTTTGTGAGTGGGTATGAATCCCCCTCCCCTAAGGAGAATTCCCAGGTTCCCATGATGTACTTTTATCATTTGAAATCAACCATAAGCAGCCAAAAACCTGCCATGTTTGTGTTGCTCTTGTTGCCTCTTATTGGGGTAGTTTTGTCTATCACTTTAATTGATATAGTGTTCTATCCATTTTCTTTCAAATTTTCATGAGTCATTTTTATTTTGTGTTATCTGTAAATTTAGAACATAATTGGCTTGTTTTCTTGTCAACTTCTGAATGAATTTCAACCAATTTTTTTATCCTTCAGTCTAGATGATTTAAATTTGCAAAAATGTGTGAATTAAGGGTCCTTTCCCAAATAGAGGTAATATTAAGAAAGAAAATGCAGGTTCATTTATAATACATGTATACCATTTTGTAAACTAGAACTAATGGGCCAGAAATAAATTATAAACTTTATAATGAAACCTCTTTTATATAGTGAAGATTACAATTTTTTTTACACCTTTACCCAAAGACTTAGATGGCTGTCCACCATGGGTTCAAAATTTTAAATAGGAATATATTTATTTGAAATTTCTCAATAATAAATCTTAAAGAACAACAAGGCATCACATTGATATAGATTCAGTTTTGTTTAAACATGATCATTGGGTTTGGGGATGAAGACACATACAGATTCAAACTTTACATTCAAACATGAAAGAAAAGAATCGAAAGACATCTCATTTAAGCAACAAGTCTTCAAATTGCCAATCTTTACTAATGTACATTACTTTTTTTTTTATCATATATATATATATATATATATATATATATATATATATATATATATATATATATTTTTTTTTTTTTTTTCTTATTTTTCTTTCAGACTTTACTCTGTCACAAGTGCCCAGTGATAAGAACGGAGTATGTCAGTGTCCCGAGCACCTGTTTACCTGTGGTAACTGTGTTTGTATCCCTCATCACTGGGTCTGTGACAAAGACGACGACTGCGGCAACCACAGGGACGAGGATTCTTGTGGTAAGTCCATAACGTTGGAATGACACATAAATAATTTTTTAGAAACTGGATTTGATAGTGATGTTAACAAAAGACACAAGTTGAGAAATAAAAGTTCATGTTAATATATTTTGATTGCAGTACAAAGATTTATCATAAAAACATATGCATCTAGGTTATGTACGTGTATACATGTAGTTTCACTGAAAGTGGGGTTTTTCATATGAATTCCAAAAAGGGTGTGGAAAAAGCAGCTCAATTAGTTGAGATTAACATATGCTACTAAAGTTTATATGATGTATGAGTAGGTTGGGAAATTATATAGCACATAAAGAATGTAAAACTGGCAATGGGACATGGTTTTTCAGCTTACAATTTCACAATGGTACAAGATATGCTATAAACCAATTTCCCTTCATGTGCAACATACCTTTGCAATTTTTGGAAGGAAAAAGAAAAAAAAAGTGCTCTAAATGTGAACAACATTTCTGTTTATGAGAGCAGACAGCCTAGAACAATGGAATAATGCATTGTATGAAATTAAATTTGATTTAACAGTAGACTTCAAAGTAGCACAAGCAAGCAGACACGGACATGATGAAGAAAATTTGGTTTACATTGATCAGATTTGATCTTTGTCACATTTCTCTTTTTTGATCTGTGTCACATTTCTCAGATTTGATCTGTGTCACATTTCTTAGTTTTGATCTTTGTCATATTTCTCAGTTTTGATTTGTGTCACATTTCTTAGTTTTGATCTGTGTCATATTTCTCAGTTTTGATTTGTGTCGCATTTCTCAGATTTGATCTTTGTCACATTTCTCAGTTTTTATCTGTGTTACATTTTAAAGGTTTGGCTCCATCTTGCCCAGAAGATTATTTCACCTGCCAAAATCATCGTTGCGTGAAGACTGAGTGGATATGTGATGGTGATAATGACTGTGCAGACAACAGCGATGAGATAGGTTGTGGTAAGTGCTTTGTTTATCATTGCAGACCCCACTGACCCCCCCCCCCCAACCCCCCAACTCCCCCGCCCTCCTAAAAAGGGGGGTATAGAACTTAAAGACTGTTTCATGGAGATATATTTACCGGTAGTAAGCAGTGAACTCTCTACCAAACATTCAAAATTTCTTTCTCCTGGATCTAGGCTTTAGGGTTTTGGCCTTCAGTTGGACTAAGTTGATGATAAATCAAAAAATATCACTGGTTACATAGTAGAAACTCATCTAGATGATTTTGCTTAATATTTTTAGTTTTGATGTGTGACTGTATATAATACTTTCACTCAATATAAACAGACAAACCTGATGCACAGAATTGTACCAGCCAAGATTTCCAGTGTAACAATGGAAAATGTATTCCAGAGAAGTGGAAATGTGATCATGACGATGACTGCGGGGATGGATCAGATGAAATATGTGGTAAGTACTAACTTAACTCCACTGTTGTGTCCACGCATCTCCTGTTGGCCACTTGTTTGTTTGTTTGTATGTTGTTTAACGTCCCTCTTGAGAATTTTTCACTCATATGGAGACGCCACCACTTGTCCTGTACTCGGCACTTACGGCCATTGAGCAGTGAGGGATCTTTTTCATGCCAGCACCTACTGCAACACGGGACCTCGGTTTATACGGTCTCATCCGAAGGACCGGTCTCCACGTCCCACAGTGGGATTCGCACCCGCGATGTAAGGATCAACTCCTTACGCCGTGACTCTAGAGCCACTCGTAATCATTTTTAAACTGAGAGAATGAAGGTGCATAAGGCCTTTTTAATGATTTTTTTCAATTTTAAATCAATGAATGGCATTGTTGCTATTACTAAAAATAGAATCATAAATTATTCCAAAATGCTTTTCACTCAACAGTCAAGATAAATAAGTCTGAAGAAATGTGCAGATATTGTCTTGTCAAGTCAAAAAAATATATGATCAGTGTAACCCAAAGTTCAATTCACACAGCCAAGTATACCTTATATCAGCAGGTTCTTCAGCAACGTGTGGACCTAACCAGTTCCAGTGTGGAGATGGTATGTGTATCCACAAGGGCTGGCAGTGTGACAAAGATGTGGACTGTTCCAATGGAGAGGACGAACAGGATTGTTGTAAGTCTTATACTGAATGTGGATAAGAAATCTGATTGGTTATAAACATAATTCATTAGTATATACATTTAGTTTATGGTGTGTTATAAAACTGAAAGGAATAAGAATCACTTCATTGTAAGCCTGGATTCATTATAAGTGTGTTTGCTGTCACTGTGTTTTACTGTATTATGATTGTTAATCTTTATTCTTTGATATCCCTAAGAAATAGATTGATCTGAACAGTGCCCATATCTGTTAAGTTTTACATTAAAGATGGTTTGTTTTAGAATTAGCCTCAGTTAGGTAGTTCTAGTCAAGCAAGCTTTCGGGAAATTTGTGTCTTTTATAAAGCAGAGCCATTTAAAGATGTAAGACCTACTACAAATAAATTTATAAATTGGCAATAGACACTTTGCAGCAATCAAGAAGAATTGTACCAAATATTATGTAACAACAACAAAAATGTGCTGTTGTCACTGTCAAAATGTGGTTTGCTCAAGAAGCTAAAGTCAATCACGGCTTATGAAGTAAAATTCACTTGCAACTGAAAAAAATTGAAACCATAATTTCATATGTCTTTGTAGATGCTGATCAACTGTTCTGCAGTAGGCATGAGTTTCAATGTTTACATTCCAAAAAATGCATTCCAATGAAACTACGTTGTGATATGAAGAATGACTGTGGGAACTGGGAAGATGAGATGGATTGTGGTAAGATAGAACCATACATAAAAGTGGAACAAAAAACAATTTCTTAAAGCTGAACACTACTCGTAAAAGGCATTGTCTGCCATATTTTTCTTTCATCTTACTGTCCCTCTAGCCCCTATTTATGTAAGCCGCAGACATCCTAACAGTTCAAAGTATTTCACTGTAAAGGTCTCACCTGGGTAGATGTATATCTTACATTGCTGTGTTACTCGATCGCGATTAAATTATTGAATTTTACTTTTTCCAAGCCAGGAGAAAAGTAACATCAAATATACAAGTCAATGCATTATTTACAAACAGAAAATGAACATAAAACATGGAATAAATGCACAAAATCTAAGACCACGAAAGGAATGCTACATGTTGGCCACCAGATTCTAGTGTGCAATCGGGTGTAAAAAAAATTGAAGGGTTTATATACCTGTGTGATGGCCTATTTATGAGTAGTGTTGATTATATCCTGTTTTACAGTGTAGGTTTACTTGCTAAGCAAGACAAAACAGTAACATTTACTAGTAAATAAGATAAACTGAACTAGATACATGGACTGTAGAAAGATGATATTTCTAGCTCTAGTAGTTGAAGACTAGAAGACCTTTTGCATTGATAAGGTGTCTGTCATCCATCTGTCTGGCTGTCTTCATATTTCTGTAAAAATAAATTCAAAATCATAATCCTCCTACACATTTGACTTATTTCAATAAATCTTGGTATTCAAGAAGACCATACCAAGATGCATAATTCTAATGTATCCAATTTTTAATCTCCATGAGCAGTTCTGCCATGGTTGCTAGATCCAATGCCTCTCCTCTCTCAACTTTCAAACAGTAGAGCTAGAGTCTTCTTATTAGAGACTTTGATTTTTCCATGGCCTCTTACAATGTTATATTTAAATCTGAAAATGCTTTTGATTTGATATGTATGTATATCAGTGTTGGAGGATGAGGGTCAGAGCCAGTTATTGTCCTTTTTGAAAATAATCTGTGTATTATATAATGCATCTCTTGATCTGCTTTCAGGTGTTTCAGAAGAACAGTGTGGCATCTATGAGTTTACTTGTAAGAATGGCAGTTGTATTGACAGAGAATGGGTCTGTGATGGTGATGTAGATTGTGAAGACAAGTCAGATGAGACAAACTGCAGTATGTATAAAGTTTATCATGAAGATGAAACTCTCTGCTTGATTGCTTGAACTATGCTTTTAATGTAATTATAAACACTAGATAAAAAAGTCTTTATTGAATTGTCTACGGTAGTTGTCAGAACTAAGTATGCTTAAAAAAGGTAGGAGGAAGAAATATCAACAAATTTTACCACAATAAAGTTTGAAAGATGGACAAGATCATCTTAAAGTTTTGGGCCATAAAAAGGTCACATATTTTTTTGCAGAACTGATAAAGAAATGTGAGTCAGTTGAGTATTGTAGCCCATGGGCCTCTTGTCCTATGTTTCTATGTATCTCTCTTCCAGCATTACCATTGTGTAGCAGTGGACAGTTTACCTGTGACACTGGATCTTGTGTTGCTGAGACTAAGAGATGTAATGGGAATTATGACTGCCCTGACAACAGTGATGAAAGAAACTGCAGTAAGTGGATCAAGTATATCTACCATATATACTCGCCTATAAGTCGGTTTTTTGGGAGTTAAACTTTGGTCCAAAACTCTTTATCCGACTTATACGTGAGTTATAAAATGGTTGGTATTTTTGTGGGTCAATCACTCTAATTGAAGCTTAAAAAATACAACCGACTTATAGGCGGACTGACTTATAGGCGAGTAGATACGGTACTTATTATCCTATCATATGGTTCTTGTATAAGTAGCTTGTGAGAAACATTTATATATGTATGTACCTGTATGTTTAAAGTGTTTATAAAGTTTACAGCTGATCTTTTTCATACAGGATCTGTTCTCTTTGTCTCACATTTAAAACATTTAGTTTGTCCTCTTAAAATACTTTAATGTGTTTTAATCTGTGTATCAATATTGACAAGTCCATTTGGAGAAGAGTGGATTTGTGAATGAAATTGATTTTTGAACTGACCAATGGATGTTCTGAGAAATGTGCTGTCTGATTCTTGAACAACTGTTGAAATTTATAGGAGTGATTCATTTGTAAAGGATAAATTATACCCCACTTGATGGTCTTAAGGACCCTCTGTATACTGCACACTAAAGAGTTCTAATTTTCATGGTATTTTTATGCAGTTAAAGTCAGCTCTGTCTTTTACATCTAAAAATAAATTGAAATGTACAGTGAAGTTCTCAATCAATTCTTTATTTGCATGTATTTTCCCAATTTAAGTAACATTAATTTCTATTCATCAGTACTTTGTTGTCTTTGAACATTTTCTTTGGGGCAATTGGCTGGTACCCTATGTTGAAAATGAAATAGATTAGCTCAGTGTTTACACATTTATATGATATAATTTTCTCAATGTCCAAAAATCATTTTTCATCAGTCAAACTAGCAATGCTTTTGTTCAAGCTAATTGCATTGGCATTATTTTGTTTCTTTTCATAATACTCATTATAAAATAATAACATGTTAAATCTGTTAAGTTTAAAGAAAACAAATCTTGCTATTTTTTAGGGAGTTTTTTGGCATTGTATTGATTATGAATCATTATTTGACTATTTTTCAGCATATAATGACACCAAATGTACTGGACTGGCCTCATTCCAATGCAACAATGGAAAATGTATCAGCATACAAAGAGAGTGTAATGGTGTGGACGACTGCGGAGACCGAACAGATGAGATTGGGTGTGGTCAGTGAAAGATAACTCTTTATTCTTAAGCTAAAAAATTATGCAGGGAATTCTAGCAGGCAATACTGTAGATCACATAATTTTCATGAAACCTTATTTATAGGCATTTGGTTGTTATAAGTGGGACAACATTTCACAAATTCTGGTCACTGCTGATCTATATACTCTATATAGATAAAAATATATGCGAGAATGAAATTTTCGCGAGCAGACTGTCTTCATGTAATTATGCAAAAGTAAAGTTCTCATGAATAAACAGTTATTTTTTATAGTATATACATGTACATGTACAGTGTATATGTAATTTATCAAAAGCTGACTTTTCATTATTCATTCTAAATTTTGCTTTCATTTATTTAGCTTTCTGTAACTATGTCTAAAATGTATGCAATAACAGCAGTCTTCAGTTTCTGAATATCTCACAATTTTCAGAATTGGTTGTTTTTTTCTTACACAGTTGAGGAGGATGTGTTGGTGTTTGCTAGGAGACAGTCTGTCCATATGATGTCACTGTCAAGCTTCGAGTACCACACCATTCCTATACTAGACATTAAACACTCCATTGCAGTGGACTTTGATTCTGTCGACAGACAAATATTCTGGTCAGACAATGAACAAACAACCATCAGCAAAGTTTACCTGGATGGCTTAGGTAAAAATGATTTTTATGTACTGTAAATATGGGTCATAATTCTGCAGAATCGCAATTCCTGTTCAATCTGCAGGTAGAAAATTATGCAGATATCTTAGACAGACACAGTGACTATATGCCGTAAACATACTTTAAGTACTTTAAATATGCTGGGACATATTTCCAAGGAAAGTTGTGACCATGTATATAGCATATAGTATATATTAATACCACATAAAAAAAGTACTTCTAAAGTATATTTACATACATTTTGCAAATCTATACTTTAATATAGATGTTATGCATACAGTCTTACATATTTTTTTTTAGAGAACTAACCAAAAGCTGTTCATTTTTGTTTTGATTAAAAGTTCTAGTTTCTGTTAACTTATTCGGCATGACATTAGGAAAATATTTTTTATATATTTTTTAAGGACAAAAAATTGTGAGCACAGGGATTGCTCACCCAGATGGTATAGCAGTTGATACAGTGAATCGTAAACTGTATTGGACAGATACAGGGAAGGACACAATAGAAATGTCAGATTTAGATGGAAATCAGAGGAAAACTATTGTTGTGGACCATTTAGATGAACCAAGAGACATTGCTGTGGACTCGAAGAATAAGTATGCTACAAGGATTTTATCATCTTATTAGCCATGTTAGCTCAATATTGACCACAAGGCTTAAGGGAGCGTTCCTGCATAAGTATACAGTTGAACTTTAGTATCTCAAACACCGATATCTCGAATACATGTACCATGTATAATTTGAAGTGATTTATTTTACCCTTGATATCTTGAAGTTTTTTCTTGGTCCCATGAAGTTTGAGAGACCGAAGTTTGACTGTATTTTTATATTTTCAGTATCTGTATCTTATATATTACAAAACAAAAAGGCTTTTTTAAATTAAAATTGACACAAAGCATTATTTGGGAAAGGGGATTACATTTTAAAATGCTTTAGTAAATTTGCACAAACATTACATATTTCTTTTCTGTCAGGAACCCATGCTATTCATATGCTCTAAACCAAAATATTATTTCCGACAACTTTTATTAATGATTTGTCACTTTAGAAATTCATCCCCCACTATTGATTTTGTTACTGAAGAAACTTCATGTATAGATACAGATAAGCAATTAAATAGCGAGAAATATTCTCAGTTAAAGGTCATGGAACTTACAAATATATCTCCCATGCGAATATAAAAGCAGAAGTTAATTGGTACACAATGCCTGCTATAAGCATATATTTTGATGAATTTATTGACGCTAAGGACATTTCCACATTTCCTTCATACCTAAACTTTTACCATAACATGATATTATCTGACATTTTACAGGAAGATTTACTGGTCAGATTGGGGGAAGGCTGCCAAAATAGAGAAAGCTAACCTGGATGGCTCAGAAAGGGTAGTGCTGGTAAACACTTCACTGGGTTGGCCGAATGGAATCGCACTGGATATAGAGAGTGGCACAATTTACTGGGGAGACGCCGAGCTGAACAGAATTGAGATGGCCAATATGGATGGGTCTAACAGGAGTATTTTCATGAGTACTGATGTACCGCACATATTTGGACTTAGTTTACTAGGTAGTGTATACTTGTCTCTTGAATATCTGCATGCCTATACATGTAAGCTTGCCTGAGTCATAGGCTGGTAGAAATTTGGCCAGCATCTTATATAGTTAACTTTTCACTGTTTGGACTTTTTCCAAAACGAAAAGCCAGTTTACAAACAACCTTGCCAAAATAAAGCACACTTTAGTAGGGGGATACAAGTTTATTTACTGTGGAATCATTGAAATTCATGGGGGTCAATGTTCGTGGGCAAGCAAAATTTTATTGGTTCATGGGGATGTATTTTATGGGCAGCTCGTTTATTTGGTAGATTTAATTAATCAGTATGTTGACAAAAAAATTGTTCATGGGGATGTAAATTTGTGGGTAAGGTGACCCACAAAATCCACGAACATTGATCCCCCAGGAACAATGATGATTCCACAGTAACTGTTGGGCTGCATTCTTCACCAAAGAGAGATAATGAGAATATTTTGAAAATAAGGTAATCACTGGCCGAGAAAAGTCTTATGTATGAGCATCCATAGAAAGTGTTTATACATGTATTTACTTTTGTTTAAATCCTAACCATCTGGGCAAGGTTGAGACCACAGCAGCAGGTCACTGTGTCAAAGGTCAAGGACACCATGGCAAAATTATTTTATTTCATAAATAGATTTTTTTGGTGGAACATATTTCTGGGCCAGTATTTTTTTGATGAGACTTGAGTCTCTGAGAAAAGAAGTACTCTACTTCATATAATGTGAGTGTCACATCCCTAGAAAATGCATGTAGATACTCATATATGCTAGTGAATTTTTTTTTAATTTCTGGTGCTTTTGAAATGTAAATCTGTTCATTGTTGTTATAGGGAACTACTTGTATTGGACTGACTGGCAGAAGCGAGTGATTGAGAGAGTAAACAAAAACTTTAAATATGACCGTGAGATTCTGTTGACAAGTGTAGACGATCTGATGGACCTCAAGGCTTTCACTGTCAAAAAGAAGATAAGTAAGTGTTATAAGTATGATCAGTGTTTATATATAGGAAAATTTTGTTTTTTTTAAGTTGACTCAATTGGGGGTTTTCTAATCAAAGCGTGTCTGTTATTTGTATCCAGACTGTCTCTTACTGCTAACTTTCTACATGTACATTGTTGACCTCTCCAGAACCATTGCACCATTTCAGTCAGTTTTGTTAAAAAGGCATCCTTGGGTAAAGGAAATTCCAGTTTAATTTTATGAAGTTTTTAAATGGGGGTAACTGAGAAATGGCAAAATTTTGATCATTTAAAAATTTCTCCAGATAGATCTCCTGGGTGAAAAAAAGTCAAAGTTCTATAGAGATATTTTTCATAGATTCAAGTCAAAGCATGCTTGCCAGGCTATTAGGCCATTAAAACTTAGACAAATCACTTCTGATCTCAGTCTCACTTTTACAAAAAGAATTTATAGCGGAAAAAGTGAGACCCATAGCAAAAGTGAGCTCATCTCAGTTTTATGGCCCCTGAGCCAGATCCTGTGGCCCTTATGGACCTCATCTAATTAAGATTAAGTTTTTAATGATAAGGGAAATATCCAACCATTCAGACATTAATAAATTGTTGATAATTTTGATGTGCAGATCCATGCAAATCCACCCAGTTTAAGTGTCAGTCTGGTCAGTGTATTGATAAAAGCCAGAGATGTGATGGTGCTATGCAGTGTGTGGACCACACAGATGAAGTGGGCTGCAGTAAGTTACTGTTTTCAGACTTAGAACTGTTAGTCAATGAAAAGCATCAGAAGTTGAAAATAAAAAAAATTAATGCCTACTTTTTCAATCTCTTACTTCATAAAAATTTAAAAAAAGTTAGGGGGTCTCAAGCTGGATACATGTATATTAAGACAGTTTGGTTCTCCATGATAACTTCTGTCTTGTGTAGGTTACACCAAGCTTAGGGTCTGCAGTATAGATCAGTTCCACTGCTCTAATGGTCAGTGTATCGGGAATCAGAAGAAATGTGATGATGTCGACGACTGTGGTGACAACTCCGATGAAAGCGGATGCAGTATGTTAATTCTTTTCCATCTACATATATAACTTCCCATCTAAAACTTACATAAACTGTTACTTATTCTACACTTCATTAATGCTCTGATTGTACCTCTAAAGTCTTTTAAACCTCTGCTGATATTGTAATTCTGAAGTGAGTAAATTTGCATCACTGTTTGTTGGGAACTTAGAATGGACAATTTTTTCAGATACACTTGGAGAATCCTCCTGTAACCTGGGCAATGGAGGATGTGATCACATTTGTCAAATCAAGCAGATGGCAGTTCATTGCTCCTGCCACAGTGGGTACCAGCTGCTGGGAGACTGGAGGGGGTGCCAGGATATTGACGAGTGTCAGTGGGAGGGAACCTGCAGTCAGAGATGTACCAACACCCAAGGGTCGTATCACTGTTCCTGTGTGCCGGGCTACCAGTTAAAGGCTGATAGCAGGGGTTGTAAAGCTGAAGGTAGGAGGTTGTATGGGATATGTAGTTATGATTGTATGATACTAGTATTAGTGAAGTGAATTAAATTAGTCTTTGGTAGGCTAGAAATTTGTTTTATTTTCATTTGTTAAGTAGGCCATCATGATTAAATTCTGCTGTTCAAATACATTATTACATTGTCCCAGTTTTCCAGCAAAGATTGACATACAGTACTTAAAAATTACTTCTGCACCTGACCACTTTGTGTCAAAGTGCTGTGTACGCACACTTTTACAAAAATATTTCCACTAGTCCTTAGTTGCTAACCTCATGAAGTTAAGGTGAGATAGAGCTATATCCATGCTATTACATAGATGACATAATTAATGATGGATGCTAAAGATAGGCTTATACTGTACACTCTATACAAATTTTCTTGTTTTCTACGAAATTTTTGCAAGACAGAGTATTAATATTATATTAAGATGAAAATTTTTCTAAATGTTGAAACAAGAAAGTTTACAAATGCAAAAATATCAATTTTGTATGAATTTTGGCAAGAGCTGTGTGATTTGTGTTGACACAAGAGTGTCTTAAAGCCCTTCGTTTGTAAAACTTAATCTTACATGTAGATATACATTTTATTGACTGTTGCATTCGTAATTCTCAACTTGTTGAAACAGAGAAAAATTATATACATACATATGCATGTATATAGATGTTAAATGGATCTTTTTCAGGTGGGAAAGCTTACTTAATTTTTGCCAACAGAGTTGACATACGGAGAGTACTGACTGACAATGCTGAACACGACTCCATACTGCAGGGTTTACAGAATGCCATAGCCCTTGATTTCCACCTCACAGAGGGTTATGTGTACTGGTCTGATGTAGCTTTGGACAAGATCATGAGAGCTTTCATCAATGGCTCAAAACCAGAAGCAGTGGTGGAGTATGGTCTCAAGAGTCCAGGTATGAGAAATCAGTAGTACAGGTATGAGAAATCAATAGTCCAGGTGTGACAAATAAGTAGTCCAGGTATGAGAAATCAGTAGTACAGGTATGAGAAATCAGTACAGTAGAGCATTGTTGATCTGGATGCCAATAATCCGGGTTCTTCATCTTTCGGATAATATTTGTAACATGATTAACTATCTATGTACCAATTATAATTCATTCATTTTCATTACATAATCTGGATGCTTCATTTATCCGGATCAATTGCTTAGGAGCACAAGTGTGTCGATTAACAAGGCTGAACTGTAGTAAACAAGCTTGAGTTCACATTATTTATTTGGTTGTAGGAGTCACGTAGTATTTTATCTTTTCCCATCCACTGTCATCTGATACATGACTTGTTCATAATAATAAGACATTCAGCTGCTTCTTTAAGGTGGCTATACCAAATTTATCCAGAATGTGTACAATGAATATCATCTATGGGTAAAGGGGAATAAAATTTGTGAATTTCCTAAAGCTGATACATGTATGTCTTATGGATAATTGTTTCACTGTAAAATAATTTATTTTCATAGGGTTCTGAATTTGTTGGTCTCTTCTTATCACAAACATAGCGAAATTGAGTTATTTCACAGTATTTATTATTTAAAGTACCATAAAGGAATACATATTGTAAACAGATTTATTACATGTAAATGCCTTCTTTGCAGGTGGTCTGGCATTAGATTGGATCCATAATAAGCTTTTCTGGACTGACTCTGGAACCTCTGTTATTGAGGTCATGGATCTTGGTCCTAACAAGTATCGCAAAGTACTTATTTGGAATGACATGCAGAAACCCAGAGCCATTGTTGTTCATCCTAGGCTTGGGTAAGTCTATACTGAGCCTCTAGATTCATATAGATTTAATCAAAAAGTTAAGATATATTTTTGTTTAGATAAAAAGACAGCACTTTTGAAATTATTTTACTCAGTATTTTTGTGATGATGATTAATTTAGGGCAGAAAGGCATTATAAATGACATGGGACTGAGCTTTTTATCTTCACTCACATGTCCTTGTAGTTTTACTCTTTGCATCTAGTTTAGATATTGATGTTAATAGTTTTGAATCTGAATGACTGTTGAGGAAAACTAATGCTATATAAATATAGCAGCTGCCATGTGATGTAATATCACTATTATCAGCCAATCATGAAATACATGTATCTTGACTTGAGCTGTCAACACTGAACCAGTTAAGATTTAAATGAAGTACATTCATTTCTGAAATCTGAAAATGGATTTATTACTTTCTGTACTAGTATTCACGACTTTATCAAGTGTAAATATAAAATTTCAGAACACATTTAAAATTGGTGAATGAAGTAAAATCACCTTTAAAGAAGCAAACTGTATTATTTACCAGGGTAATATTTTGGACTGATTGGGGACACACACCTAAGATAGAGAGGAGTTATATGGATGGAAGTGGACGTGGGGTGATTGCCAATACCTCGCTGTTCTGGCCGAATGGACTGACACTGGACTACACCACAGACAAACTGTACTGGGCTGATGCCAAGCACCATGTCATAGAGTGTTCCAACCTAGACGGCTCTTCCAGAAGAACTGTTATAAATTCAGGTAAAGTATTTGATATTTATGTTAGGAATCAGGTCAATGTAGAGTCTGACATTCAAATGAAGATCAAAAATGTTCCAGCATTTTTAAGAGGTACATTGACAAGAAAATGCTAGTCAACAAAATAATAATTTTCATATCTTTCATTTTGTTTTGTAAGAAGTTTGGCTGAAAATAGTCAAGGGTATTATTTGGGCAAAAAAAATTACAAACCATCAAATAGAAAAAATCACTTGAGTCTTACGATAAAATGAATTCTTATCCATATATATTTGTAGGCTTACCCCATCCATTCGCTCTAACCCTGTTTGAGGATGAGTTATATTGGACAGACTGGCACACCAAGAGTATTAACAAAGCTAACAAGTTCACTGGAAATGATGTAGAAACGGTTCATAACAGACTTCATTTTCCTATGGACATACACAGCTTTCATCCTCAGAGACAGCCAGAATGTAAGTAAAGTTAAGATGGAACATGTTCTTTCTCAAGTACATGTACAGTTTTCATCTTGGGATGCTAATCACTGACTATGCTTCAGATGCTACATGGACTTGAATTACATTTTTGGAAGATTTTCAGATTAATTTTCTAGAGGAGGTTCATTCATATAGGAATGGACCTCCTTTAGAAGTTTTATAAACACAAGATAGATTTTTATTTAAGTGACCCAACCTTTGGGTCAAACAGCAGATGCTGTCATTCCTGACAGAAGCTTTTATCTTCTGGGAAGAAAGCTACAAGTAAATAAACTGTCTAGAAATTTTGAAAATCTTTTCCTGTAGGCTTGTCATATTTGGAATATGGTGTCACTATAAAAAGAAATTGATATAATCCCACATTTCTGTGTATCTGATGAGTCTATCTGTGACTGCATGTTATTAAGAATAACACTTAATCCATTTCAGCTCCTAACAGATGTGGCCAGATTAATGGTGGCTGTAGTCACTTATGCTTACCTAGTGTTGTAGGATTTACTTGTGCTTGTCCCTCGGGTCAGCACCTATTGGCCAACAAACGCAACTGCACCAAAGGTAAGTTAAACACAACTGTACCGAAGGTAAGATAATTAAATGTTGAATTAATGTACACAACTATACCAAAGGTAAGATAATCAAACACAACTATACCAAAGGTAAGATAATTAAACACAACTTTACCAAAGGTAAGATAATTAAAACAATTGTAACTGTACCAAAGGTAAGATAATTTAAAAATGCAATTCTACCAAAGTTAAGATGATTTACACAAACACAACTGTACCAAAGGTAAGATAGACAAACGCAACTGTACCAAACATAAGATGACTTACACCTGTGGAATATCATAAACAGATATGATGACAAGATATCATACGTTTGTCATTTACAAGATGTATGTATCACACATAAATATCAATGGCTAAAGATTTTGCATAAAAAACTTTTAGCTTGAAGATATTTGTCATTTGTACCTATTCTTGGAAATAATGTATGTCACCCATATACAAATACATGTAAGTGGCCCTTTTTGTATATTCCTAGTCTCTATTCACAGATATGGCCACTTTCTTGCTGTACTCGACATCTACGGAAATTCGCAAAATCAACATGGACCCAGCAGCAGGTGTTGACCGCTCCGATTCAATCATTCCCCTGTCAAAGATTGGACATGTGATTGGTCTAGACTTTGATGCTGAAGAGGAATTTGTGTATTACACAGATACAAGTCAAAAGACAATCAGTCGTGCCAAATGGGATGGAACTAGAGAACAGGTAATCTTTTTTTTGTGAATTGTAAAAGCATTAATACTTTGTACATTGAAACATGGCTGAGTCTGCATGATCAAGATACTTTTGTCATTGGTAGTCAATTGCTTTGACTGTTATTAGCTTACCTATGAATTTTAATGAACTAGAATTAAAACTAAAGTTTGTTTTTGCTCTTGAAAATATCTGAGGGCTTATATGTTTAAAAAAGTTCTTAACAGTGAGGATGTGCTTAGGCAATTTCAAATGCCTTTGTGCTCCAATAAATTGGCTGCAAATTTAAGTACCGGTATTAAATAACTTAATAGTTAATAAATGTGTGTACAGTTGCATTTCATGCTTGTAGAAATAGGTGCCAAGATACTTTTATGTGGGGGGGGTGTATCCAAACAGGCTGTTAAGTTACTAGATTTGTTTTAATGCAAAATGAAACTCAACTAGACATTTTTTTTTAATCTCCCTTCTTCCCCAATTGCACACCTTGACCAGCTATAAGTTGGTGATTTTCCTAAAATCAAGCACAAGACGTGTATAATGTTATGATTAAACTTTCAAGTGATAAATTATATAATTATTAAAACAAAGAATTTTCTGTCAGTATACTCTGGAATCATCAATGTTCATGGGGGACCAATGTTCGTGGATTTCGTGGGTCACCCTTATCCATGAATTTACATCCCCACTTAAAGGCTGTGCTTACATGTAAATGTTAAATATGCAATAATTTTATTAGAATTATAATTTTTATTTCATTAGAGAAAACCTCTTTGTTTGGGTAAGTTATACATTGGATTAACAGATGTAACATAAATTTATAAATGCTGCATTGCAGTGGATTGGATATTATAATTATATACTAGAAAAATCATACAGGGCAGAAGTATAATCATATACATGTATATAAATGGCAATCCTATCCGTGACCTTTATTGAATAAACATATAGACGGTTTCTACCTTAACCATGTTCTACCGAAGAAGTAAGTTCAAATTATTAAGAAAAGCTTTTGTTATTGCATGGATCAAGTATTGCATTATATATCAATAATTGAGTACTTTTGACCTTTACTTTTTGATTGTTATCCAAAATGTATCCCTTATGTTATACTCTGACTGTGTCTGAAAATACAGTCATGTTGTAATACGGACTGAAGTTTTTGTGTGTGTCACATAAATGTAGAAAAATGCATCAAAAAATTTTAACCATGGCTCCAGTTAAGTGACCCAGAATGTATAGGTGTCTTCCTAACTATCCTTTTCCTGTATAATTACATCAGAAATGTTGAGGGGGGGAGAAGGGTATGATGCATGGGTAATTGTCTATCATCCTCATCCATCACTCTGTCTCTGGACCTTTGATAGGTGACTCCAGCTTTGCTAAATGTATGCAGCATAGGCACTATACTGATGATGTCTTCTACTCCATTTATTAATGGAACACAGCTCTCTGTAAAAAGTATTGCTCTGCAGTTTTATCATTGAAGAGCTGTCTTTCTTTAAATGTTCAATTGCTGTCTGTATAGATATTTTGATGTGTGAAATTCAGCCTAATTAACAGGGTCATTTTTTTTCAAGGTATATTGAAATTGGCTCATTTTTATCTGAACTAGAATTTTTTAGCATACCTGTGAATTTTAATGAACTATACTGATTGAAGTTTGGTTTGCATCCATTAGTCTCTGAAATGTTTGTACATGTATTGTAGATTATTTTATTGTGTTTTTGACAGGTTCTAGTGGACACTAGGTTGATAGTCCCAGCAGGCATTGCAGTTGACTGGGTGGGAAGGAAACTTTATTGGACAGATGCTGAACTGGACATCATTGAAGTGGCTAACTTGAATGGAAGTGTGCGAACTGTCCTTGTGTGGAAAGGGATGGATCAACCCAGAGACATTATTGTTGACCCAGAAACGGGGTACATTTTTACTACATTAATTGTGCATAAGCAATGGATTGATCTTTTGTTCCAACTTAAAATGTTAATATCAGGGATTTCAAATGTAACAGATTTATACACCCTTACAGGACTTATTTGATCCATACTTTTATGTAATTTGATATTTACTCGATAATACTTTTCAAGTCAATATTGAAATATTTTCAAAACAGAAATGTTTAACCTGTTTATAGATATTTGTATTGGACTGACTGGGGTAAAAAACCAAAGATTGAAAAAATAGGCATGGACGGCAAAGGAAGAAAAGCTATTATAAAATCAAATCTGAAGTGGCCCAATGGATTGGCCTTGGACATTGAAGAAGAGAAGCTTTACTGGACAGATGCAGGAACCAGTGTGATAGAGTGCTCTAATTTAGATGGTAGTGGCAGGAAGGTAGGTCTCTACAAACGTGTGAAATAAAGTTTACCCCTTCTGTCATATTATAAGTAGTACATGTATATCTGTACATGCATTGAAATTTGTTTTTGTGGAGTGCTGTTGATTTTTATTACCTACCATAGGTATAAAACATCTTTAAGTTATTAGAAGGTTCTCATATTTCTCCATGCAAACATAAAACCTAAATCAAATTTTGATACCTTCAGGTTAATTTGCAAAGCAAAATTTCAATCAGTTGTAAGGATTGTTCATGTCCTCTTGGGTACAGGAAGAGGGTTACAAATGGAGTGTGATTTGGTTGTAGCTTTTCTAAATATTGCTACTATTCTAAGGTGCATATATATTTCTGTATACAAGTAAAACACGGTAATATTTTGACAGATGGTAATCTCTGTCGATGTACAGAGTCCCTTTGGGCTGACGGTGTATAAGAACATGTTGTACTGGACCGATCGTGGAGACAAGGGACTTCACTCTGCTGACAAATCCAATGGCTCCGACATGAAGACACTGAAAATGAATTATGCTGACATCTGGGATGTGAGAATGTTTCATAAGAACAGACCACAAGGTAGTGCTGAATTTCTGAAGGATGGAAACAAATGTTAGGTTTTAAAATGATATATAGCCATTTTTGAGTCGGCTCGCAGAGCGACTCATTGGTATCACAGCTGTAAGTGTAAAAATTATCACTCATTCATCTAGGTGATTCATACACCAAATAAGATAGTTCTAGCAAAAAATGCTTTTGTTTGAGTGATTGCTTAAACTTAGGAGGTATAAACAGTATAAAATTTCATATTGTAACATTATTTATGTCTTCAGTTTTTAGCTCACCTGAGCCGAAGGCATATTTATATGGAAGCATCCTCAGGTAGTGTAGATTCAAATTTGTCCAAATCATGACCCCTGGGGGTAGGGCGGGGCCACAATGGAGGATCAAAGTTTTACATAGAAATATATAGGAAAAATCTTTAAAAATCTTCTTCTCAATAACAGCAAAGCCCTAATTGGTCATATTTATATTGCAGCATCCTCAGGTAGTGTAGATTCAAATTTGTCCAAATCATGACCCCTGGGGGTAGGGCGGGGCCACAATGGAGGATCAAAGTTTTACATAGAAATATATAGGAAAAATCTTTAAAAATCTTCTTCTCAATAACAGCAAAGCCCTAATTTTCATATTTATATGAAAGCATCCTCAGGTAGTGTAGATTCAAGTTTGTTCAAATCATGACCCCCGGGGGGTAGGGCGGGGCCACAATGGAGGATCAAAGTTTTACATAGAAATATATAGGAAAAATCTTTAAATATCTTCTTCTCAAGAACAGCAAAGCCCTGATTGATCATATTTATGTGGAAGTATCCTCAGGTAGTGTAGATTCAAGTTTGTTCAAATCATGACCCCCGGGGGTAGGGTGGGGCCACAATGGAGGATAAAAGTCTGAAATAGAAATATATAGGAAGATATGTTCTGATGAAGAACTGCAAAGCCATGATTAGTCATTTTGATATGGAAGCATCCTCAGGTAGTGTAGATTCAAGTTTGTTAAATTGTTGACCCCAGGGGATAGGGATGGGCCATAATGGGGGATCAAAAATTTTACATAGGAACATATAGGAAAATATCTTCTTCTCAAGAACTGAAAATCATGTTTAGTCATTTTGATATGGAAGCATCCTCAGGTAGTGTAAATTCAATTTTGTTCAAATGATGACCCCCGAGGGTAGGGTGGGGCCCAATAAGGGGATCGAAAGTTTTACATAGGAACATATAGAAAAAAATTTCTTCTCAAGAACAGAAAAGCTATGTTTAGTCATATTGATATGGAAGCATCCTCAGGTAGTGTAGATTCAAGTTTGTTCAAATGATGACCCCTGGGATAGGGAGGAGCCACAATGGGGGATCAAATTTTTACAGAGGAATATATGGGAATTTTTTTTTAAAATCTTCTCAAGTACAACAAAGCCATTTGTTAAAACAAATTATATATTGACATGGAAGCATCATCAGGAAGTTTAAAATTCAAGCCCCCCCCCCGGAATCTTTTCAATACTTAACTGATTTGTGCTTTTGCCTTGCCAATGTGCTCAGGTGAGCGATGTGGCCCATGGGCCTCTTGTTTAAAAGAAAAATTGATTAAATATCTGTACAATGCATGTACAAATACTGCGTATGAATATACTAGTATGTGCAAGCATGTTAGGCGGATCTATAATTTTCCCATCTGAAGTTTATTGACCTAGAATACTCCCTAACACATACAACTGATGTTCTCATTCACTGCAGCTGTGGTGCCTGAAAAATCTATTTTTAGAATCCAGGTTTGTAGTGTAAGTCATTGACCTAATTACTTTAGAACACAGACCACTGCAGCTAGTGTGCTTAATTCAATTTTAGCATCCAGGTTTGCAGTGCTGCTTTCTACAATGCTATATTAAATTATTATATGTTACTTAACATAAACATAATCATAATGCTTAAATTAAAGTAAAATTGTGTGAATACATGTATATAGTTGGGCGGATCTTGAAAAAATTTCCCATAGATATCTTATGTTTGTTTTCCATTACTGGGGGTTGTTTTTAATTGATTTATCTTATGTTTAAATATTAATTTTTTTCCATGATACTTTTCTCCCTTTTTAACATGATTTTCCCTTTTCCCCTTGTTTTTATTTCACTTTATTGTATTTTTTTCTTAATAGAACACTGAGATCTAGTAAGATTTATGATAATTATAATTAAGAATTACTGAAGAGAAGTTTTTTAAAGAACTCATTTGACTTAAAAAGATGGGAGATATTAAAACCCTTAACCTTTATTTCCTTTTTTTTTGGGGGGGGGGGGGGTAAATTGAGACCCGTTCAAATTTAAACAGTTGTATTTGGATCCCTATTCAAAATATTGTTATTTTTGTCACATTATGTAATCTTATTTGTGTATTTACAAACCCAGACTTTAAATAAATTTAAAAAATCTCATGTGATGGGATTGAAACCCTTAGTTTTTAACAAATCATGGAGACCTGAATTTCTTAAGATGCAATAAAAACTGAATATAAGGCATGGTGACATGTTATGTGAAAAAGCTCAATAAACTCGAGCGAGTCGACTCTCAGGCCCTTCAGGCATTTGATTAAAACACTGCTTTTATTTTTAGTCCATACAGGATGTGGCACCATGAATGGCGGCTGTAGTCATTTATGCCTGATCGCTCCGCTACCCCGAGGCCATTCCTGTGCCTGTCCCACGGGGATACTGCTGAGGAAGGATAACAGAACATGCAATACACGCAAGTCTTTTTCTGTCAAATGCAGTTTGGGAAAATATTGTTTTAAATTAACTTGTTTTGTTCACTGACAAACTCTTTAACAACAATTTTTTTTACTGACAAAGAGTAAGCAAGAACACCCAATTATTTTTTCCATGTTACAATTATGAGCGTTTGTATTAACTTTGTGTGTAATACACTGATATTTCTCTCCAGATATGACCAATTTCCTGATCTTTGCACGTAGAACTGACATTAGGAAAGTGTCCTTAGACGTTGAGTATTTTGCTGATGTAGTGATGCCAATAAAACAGCTGAGGAATGTTATTGCTCTAGATGTGGACATTGTTAAAAGTATGTCAAATGAAATCTTCCCTTGTGGATTAATGTGGAAAAGATATTTTAGTGCTATATAAGAACCTTTTCATGCACTGTTGAGAATAATGATAAGATATATACAGTTGAACTTTGTTATCTCGAACACAGATTTCTTGAATACCAGGGATATGTCAAAGTGCATTGACAGTCCCAACCACTTTTAGATTTTTACCCTTGTTATCTCCAATCCTCGGATATCTAGATGTTTAAGCTTGGTTCCATGGAGTTTGAGATAACAAGGTTTGACTGTAGTTATACAGCATGGAAATGAGGCCTTCAGGTTAATTAGCTTGTGTCATTACAGGAAAAGTTTACTGGACAGATACAGTGTTAGACAAGATAATGAGAGCTAACTTAGATGGATCACAGGTAGAGGAAATCATCAGTAATGGATTAGATACACCTGACGGACTGGCTGTCGACTCTGTTGGACAAAAAATCTACTGGACAGACACTGGACTGAACCGCATAGAGGTGGCAGAGGCAGATGGGAGCAATCGAAAAGTCTTGTTCTGGGAAAATTTGGATAAGCCCCGAGCTATTGTGCTTGTGTATGAACTAGGGTAAGATCTTTTTGTCCCATTGAAATGTAACATTATACATGTACAACTGTACTTGAATTTGGAACTCATTCTGATTTGCTCCTTGATAAGAATCAAATACCATCTGCATGAAATTTGAAATTTGTGAAATGATAGCGCCTGTAATCCTGTATGTCTTTATTGCCTCATAATAGAGTCCAGGAGGGCAATATGTATCTGCAATACTTGATATCGCGATTACTTAACTTAATGGAACTCTTTCGCGGTAAAGGTAGGAAACATTTGTTAGCTTGGGGCAATGTGCTGTTGCATACAACGCGATATCGAGCATTGTGGATTTTTAAAGGGCAGATATGAAAGAAGTCCTGGTGAAATATATTGCGGAACATTCGCTGAACCATGCTTATAAATTTTAAGAGAACCCAGTCTTCATGTGTTACATTTTTATTGATACTTTTTTAGTAAGCCGACTCTTCTAATTAGATTCAACCATTTCTTTCTGATTATCGTTACTTTTTGAAGCTGATAAAAAAACTTTAAACATTCCCAATTAGACAACCTACTATTTGAAGTTCAACCCTTTGCAATACATAGTACTTTCGGCATACTATTTGTTCGAATTATTTGATTGTCACTAGCATACTAAGTAATTCATGCCCCGTAAATCTCGCAAGATTTAGAGCTTCCTCGACTTCGCCACAAAAGAGCGGCATTAAGTTAGATAATTGTGAGGTAATCGTGATACAAAGTATTGGCTCAATGAAATATTCCTACTAGGTTTCATTTTCTGATGAAAAAATCCTCATTACTTCAAAGACTCTTCCATCCTGGCCTGCTACTTCTTGGATTGCTTTTTCTTCAATATCTTTAATTTCTATTGAAACACACATAAATTTTTGAATAAACAGTACAATGTTCACATTATACTCTGCCTATATGGAAACATTCTCAGTCTTAGAGGTAGTCGGACTGAGAACCTTTAAAAAGCATTTAATTTATCTCCAGGTACTTATATTTCACTGACTGGGGGATAAACCCTCGTATTGAGAGAGCCTGGATGGATGGACAGAACAGAAAAGTCCTGATTGACCATGATCTAGGCTGGCCTAATGGACTGGTCATTGATAAACTGACCAGCAGAATTATATGGGCTGATGCCAGAATGGAGGTAAATTTACCGAATAAAAAGCAGAATCTTATGATAATTTACTTTGATTTGTAGATTCCTTTTGTTTATAGATTGTAGGAAATGTAAACAGTATAATATTATCCAGAAGAACCAGTAACAGAGATAAGTGCAGATCTCACATGTACAGCATGTAACTTTTAATTGAAAATAGTTTCAAGAGAAAGGCTTTATTTTTCAACTACTAATAAACAAATTGGTATATCTGAAGAAATTTCTAAACAAATCTGTAAAAATTGCAAGAAATGATGCATGTTTGACCCACTCTTTGTATGAACAAGTGACACATATAATTGTTCCTGAACCAGGTGATAGGATCTGCAGACCTGAATGGCGGCAACAGAAGACTTTTGGTCAAGGGGGTCAAACATCCGTATGGCCTAACTGTCTTTGGAAATTACATTTACTGGACAGACTGGCAGAAAATCTCAATCCTAAAGGCAGACAAATACACAGGAAATGACGTAGTCACACTCCGTTACAACTTATCAGGGCTAATGGACATACATGCTGTACAGCTGGACACAGGGGGTAATGTATATGTACTTAATTAAATATATTAATACTGTGAAATCACTTATTTTCCTGGAGGTTTAATTATTGTTGTTTTTAAGGTTTGAAGAGACCCACGAATTCATGTCCTCTAAGAAATGTTAAAATTTCATACTGCAGTGTAACTTTTCTCCTTTAACCATGAAACTAAATCCCCTCAAACCAGTAATTTTTCCTCTAACCAAGAAAATTTTACCCTATGAAAATAAGTGATTTTTCAGTAATTACTGATGATAAGACTAAATCAATTTTGATTTTTGATTTAACTCACTACGATCACTGCCAAGAGTGAAATTTTGCAGAGTACTTATCTGATTTGATTTATTTTTCATTAACTTTGAAGATTTAGAGAAGATGAACAAATGTCAGAAAAAGAATGGAGGCTGTAGTCACTTGTGTCTTCCTAACCCCTCAGGATATTCCTGTGTGTGTCCCACAGGACTGAAACTACTGGAGGATGGCAAGCAGTGTCAGAAAGGTTTATCTCTCTCTCTCTGTCTCTCTCTCTTTCACTTATATTTCAACCTTATGCAAGAAAGAATATATACTTTGACATAAAGCCATTATATGTAAAGGTATGGAAAAGATCCTCAGGTTATCTACATGTAATTTATCTATTGTATGCTGATAAATTTCCTATTAAATTATTGTAGCAAATGGAGAATTTTGTTGGTCTTTATTTTGATATGATGTGCTTTGAATTTGTTTCCCATGGCCTATGATTTCCTTTTACAACCAACATAATGCAGTGAATCTCTTTTTCTGTTTATTATCAGTTCCGCAGAAGTTTCTGTTGTTCGCCAGTAGAGGAAGCGTGCGTCGGATTTCTTTTGATACGAATGACACGACTGACGTTTACTTACCCCTCAAGGATCTGCATAATGTTATAGCTTTAGATTACGATAACAGGGAGAAAAAGATATTCTACACAGATGTTCACCAAGATGTCATCAAGTATGTGGAAATTTCAGTTCTTAAATTTCTATACTTCCATTTTAAAATATAGTATGAGCATGAAGTGTAAATCCAACTGCTTTTCTCTCTGGTTTCACTCGTCTAGATCTTGTAATGGTATCACATTTTGATTTTCCATATAGCTTTGTATGTGGTATTTTACATTTCAAAAGGGATCTTTATTTTATACAGTAGTTACAAAAATACCAATGACCATTTCAGCGTATGTCCAAATTTCAGGAAATGTTCATCTCTTATTGGCATATTTTTGATAATTTTATATATCATCTCATATGAAATGACAGCTCATCATAATTACTTTTAATGTTAATTTTAGACGAGCAAACTTTGATGGTAGCCAGTCTGAAGTAATAGTTTCATCAAATTTGGAGACTACAGATGGCCTGGCTGTAGACTGGATAGGCAGAAATCTGTACTGGACAGACACAGGTGTGTAGGATATAAGGGAAAGGAGAGAATATTATAATTAACTGTCAGGAAATTTGAGGAAATTGCAAAGATAAAAGAATTTACAGTGAAATGAGGAATACAGTATTCACCAATGGTGTTACAGTGTGTGTGTTTTCTTGCTGTGCAGGTCGTGACAGGATAGAAGTTGCTTGGTTGGATGGGAGAAACAGAAAAACTATTATTAATGAAAAGCTAGATGAACCAAGGGCCATAACTCTGTACCCCAATAAAGGGTAAGTTAGTTATCTGCCTTAGATGGTAATTATCCCCTCGCGCAACTAGTTGCGGAGGGGATATAGCATCGCTACTGTGCGTATGTGTGTGTGTTAGTGTGTTAGTGTGTCCGTTACAGCTTGTGGGCAAGATTTAAAGAGAACCTTTTTGGACTATCAATTCTCAGCTTCCACATACTTATGTGGCATTGTAAAAGGACGAACCCTATTCATTTTCAAATTATTCGGTAAAATATTTCTTAAAATATCGCGATTTTACTACCTTCAAACTCTGAAATTTTATGTACGACTTGACAATACTCGCTTCCGCTTAATCAACCTGGAAAATTCGGTTCGCTTCGACAGACTCGCTTCAGAGTTCAGTAAGTTCTACTTTGTATTTACGTATTGTCATATTATTGTGCATATCTTGAGACAGTCTGTATAAACTAAACGTGTCATCTCTGACGCTGAGTAATTGAAATAATTTGATGAACGTCGCGGTTTCATTACCAAATTTCCACAGGTGTCTGTTTACAACATGGAATTTATTCTAGAGGCGCATGTAATTCCCAAAAGCTATAAAGACATTTCACAAGTTTCACTTTTAGTGACCTCTCAACACCGGTATATTTTCATTTTTTATTATGAAGAAATATTGCTTCTGCGGGTATTCTCAGATTTTATGCATATTGCATACAACTTTGAGATTTACATAGGTAGGTAAATTACTGAAACCTAGAGCATACGTGATATGTTTCTGCTAGGAATAAGGGAAACTGCCCACTTACATATGCATGTTATTCCCCCCTCCCCCACGATGTTATGCACTTTGATTTAAAAATGCCCCCACCCCCCACCCCAAGATGAGTTTGTTAAAATTGTGCTGCAATATATTTTATTTTCTTTACCTTTAAATATTTTAAACCTAACTAGTTGATTGTATCTTCAATAACGTCCCTCTTGAGAATTTTGTCATTACCGGTGAAGTGCCTGGCGCGAGGGGATGCTCCGCTTAGCGTTGCTCTTGTTAAATTTAAAGTACCTGCCAACTCGGTACATAACAAGACATACCCACATTTTGAGCTGTTCACCCAGCTAACTGAAATGACATGTATAGAACAAGTACCATGAAGGCTTTTTTTATTAATACAATTATACTTTTCAATGGACTACTAAACTCCCATATCATGATTAGGGAAATATTAATTTTGTTTTCAAAAGAAATACCCACTAGTTGATTTAAATAATTTTAAATCTGTTCTTTACAATCTCTGAACAAATCTTGATAAACCTTTACAGGAAACTTTCTTTTTGTGAAAGGAATTTTTTCCAACTGAGAACCAAACTTTAAGAAAAAAAGACTTCCCCATTAGATCAGGACATCATCCCTTGTCTGAAATTAGACAATAGGGCATATAGAGATTTAAAATATTAATCTTCTTAAGATAAAATGGCTGCAGTTTGATGTACCTTCTTGTATGACCAAGTGAATATGCAAGCATCCTTCTTAAGTGTTGACTCGCATTTGTCCTTATCTCTCAGTGAGGCCAGAATAAAGATTTAAAGATTATAAGAGAGGTTTAGGTGAATATAGTCATCCATATGCCTTATTTAAAACATGCACAGCTGTCCTCCTGTATCTTGAAAGAATTGTGATGTGCCTCTTTTATCAAATCTAGATGGATGTTCTGGACAGACTGGGGACACAAACCAAAGATTGAGAAAGCTTTTATGGATGGAACACATCGCAAAGTCATAGTTAACACTGGTCTAGGTAAGACATAGTTAACACTGGTTTAGGTAAGACATAGTTAACACTGGTCTAAGGAAGACATAGTTAACACTGGTCTAGGTATAAATCATAGTTAACACTGGTTTAGGTATAAGTCATAGTTAACACTGGTTTAGGTATAAGTCATAGTTAACACTGGTTTAGGTATAAGTCATAGTTAACACTGGTTTAGGTAAAAGACATAGTTAACACTGGTTTAAGTACAAGACATAATTAACACTGGTTTAGGTTTAATTCATAATTAACACTGGTGTAGGTATAAGACATAGTTAACACTGGTTTAGGTTTAAGTCATAGTTAACACTGGTTTAGGTATAAGTCATAGTTAACACTGGTTTAGGTATAAGTCATAGTTAACACTGGTTTAGGTATAAGACATAGTTAACACTGGTTTAAGTATAAGACATAGTTAACACTGGTTTAAGTACAAGTCATAGTTAACATTGGTCTAGGTAAGACATAGTTTACATTGGTCTAGGTAAGACATAGTTAACACTGATCTAGATCAGTCATAGTTAACATTGGTCTAGGAAAGTCAAAGTTACCACTATACTAGGAAAATCATTGTTAACACTGGACTAGGTAATTAATTAACACTGGTCTATGTAAGACATAGTTAACACTGGTCTAGATAGGACATAGTTAACACTGGTCTAGGAAAGTCAAAGTTAACACTGGTCGAGGTAAGTCATAGTTAACACTGGTCGAGGTAAGACATAATTCACACTGGTCTAGGAAAGACATAGTTAACACTGGTCTAAGTAAGCCCTAACTAATACTGGTCAGCATATTCAACACTGGACTAGGTGCGACATAGTTAACACTGGTCGAGGTAAATCAAAGTTAATACTGTTCTAGGTAAGACATAGTTTTTTTGTGTTTTTTTTTAGTTTTTTTTTTTTTAGGTAAGACATAGTTAAGACATAGTTAACATTAGTCTAATCAATTCATAGTTAAGACTTATCTAGGTAATTGGTTACTATAGTTGATCTAGTAAGTTTGTTCAATGTTTGTTTTGCTTAAAAAAAATATCACTTTAATGAGCATAGAGTTGTTTCCTTTTACACTTTTAAAAAGATAAACTTAAATCAAAATTTACAGTTAATTCTTTCTTGACAGGATATCCCAATGGACTATCCATTGATTATACAATGCAACGACTTTACTGGGTAGACGCCAAATTAGATAAAATCGAAACTTCAGATTTTAATGGTCACAACAGAGTTCCATTGATCAGCAATGTTATTCATCCATTTGGTTTGGCTGTGGTAAGTTTCAGATTAAAGACTCTCGGGAGTAAATACAATTCTATCTGTTTACCCTAGCAAAAAAAAAATGATAAAAGAGATGCAAGTGTCCAGTGGCTGTTGTAATACTTCTGTATTGATTTTCAGTATGACCAGTACATCTACTGGACTGATTGGCAGACAGAGCAGATAGAGAGAGCCAGCAAAATGACAGGGTCAGACAGGACAGTCATCTCAAAGAACCTCGAGGGACTGATGGACATCGAGTTTGTGGCCCCAGACAGGCAGAAGGGTGAGTAACCATATAGGGATTAGAACACTCTGTTTTCATTTTTGCCTTGCCATTGAAATGGTGGTGGTGGTGAAGGGGGGGGGGGGTGTATGAATTTGTACCTGAGGATTATGAGGTCTGTAGAATGGCTTGGCTTAGGACTTTTATATATATATACATAATATATATATATATATATATATATATATATATATATATATATATATATATATATATATATATATATATATATATATATATATATTTATTACATTTTCAACAGTGAAATACTGTGATTTATTTATTGAATAAAAGTGATATTCTCTCACAGTGTGAAAGGATACCAAAGTGATATTCTCTCATAGTGTGAAAAGGATATCAAAGTAAGTAAAATATAATTTCTGGCCTGTAATAAGATGAGATAGTAACTAAACCATCTTGAAAGAGACTAAAACTGCCTATTTCTTCCCAAATATGTTGCTAAAATCCATGTTTTCATCTCACAACTGCTAAGCCATGACGTCTCAACTGCTCAACTATGATGTCACAGCCTATTACATTGTGTTAAGAAAAGACAGAGGCAAAGGGAAAATCAAAGAAAATGTAATAAATAGAAAATTCAATGTTTTGTAGTTGGATATGGAATTTATTTCACTCGTGAGACAGGATTTTTTGATATTTTCACGAGTGCGAAATAAATTCCATATCCAACCACAAAACATTGAATATCCGCTATTTATTACATTTTCAACAGTGAAATACTGTGATTTATTCATTGAATAAAAGTGATATTCTCTCACAGTGTGAAAGGATACCAAAGTGATATTCTGTCACAGTGATAGGATATCAAAGTAAGTAAAATATAATTTCTGGCCTGTAATAAGATTGAGAAAGTAATTAAACCATCTTAAATGAGACTAAAACTGCCAATTTCTTCCCAAATATGTTTTCAATCTCACAACTGCTAAGCTATGACGTCTCAACTGCTCAACTATGACGTCACAGCCTATGACACAGCGTTAAGAAAAGACAGAGGCAAAAATAAAATCAATGAAAATGTAATAAACAGAAAATTCAATGTTTTGTAGTTGAATATGGAAGTATATATATACCATGTTTTTGAGGTGATGGTTTTAAAGTGCATTGTGTGATCATTGTTGTGGTCTTATGTTGTTATATTAGGCTTCTGAGCAATTACTTTACAATGTTTTAAAGGTGCTTAGACATAGATTTGAACTTAATATTTTCTCAAATTTTCTGCATAATATCACGACTTATATATTGCAATAGCATTTCACACGAAAATATAATTAAAAACTTATTTTATCTGGAAATTATTGGAACTACAAAAATGGGACACGTTTGATTAACACATCTTTGCACTTAAACAAATTTTAACTTTATCCTTAATATTTAAGAAAAGAGGTGATTTTGTTACGTATTAATGAAAAATATGACATCTATAATCCAGAGTAGAAATGTTCGACAGCAAAACCAACTCACCAGTATTGTCAGTCCGTGCTCTGTGATGTGTACAAAGTTTAACAAATTGAACACACCCATGAAACGTAAACTGTTTTTGTAAACAGGGCACGAGCTCTGTTATTGTTAATGTTTATGATTCACCGGGTGTGTTCAATTGTTAAACTCTGCACACACCACTGGGCACGAACTTACAATACTGTGAGTGGGTTTTACTTTCAAACATTTCTACTCTGAATTTTCTGGGTTATAGTTCTAATATTTTTCATTAATACACAACAAAATTGCCACTTTTCTTAAGTATTAAGAATAAAATTAAAATACGTGAAAGCGCTAGGATGTGTCAATCCAATGCGTCAAGAAATTCGAAGTTTTAATAACTTCAGGATGAAATAAGATTTTTATTATTATAATATTTTAGTATGAAATGCTATAGCAACATATAAGTCATGAAATTATACAGACAATTTGAGAAAATCTGTGTCCAAGCACCTTTAAGCTCAATACAAGTCAGTAGACCAGTATATTTTTTACAAGTTTTACAGATTTCTCAGTGTGAAGGGGTTTGTCTTCTGAATCCTTTGAATACTGTATACAGGGTTATTTTCGCCCCATGTTATTTTTGCCCTTTCCCACATCCAAACAATTTTGCCCCATTTTAAATTCACCCAATCACAGTTCTGTTAAAAAAATATACAGTGTTCTTTGAATTCACCCCGTTTTAAATTCATCCTCCTGTGAGTAGGGCAAAAGGGGCAAAAATAAAATGGGGGCAAAAATTTCCCTGTATGTGGGTGAATTAAAAAAAAATGACCAAACGCATATTTATCAACCCACACTAAAAATACAGGCAATGAAAATAGATTTCTATGTCTCAGCATATGTCTTTAGATAGTGTCTAAATACCTGCCAAATATCTCGTTGATATCTCAATTAACAAAAAAGTTATGCCCAAAAATGATGCTAAAATTGTCAGGAGTGCAACACCTTTTTGTGACATTTTGAAATTTCAATATTTTTTGGAGATCTGTGAAATAAAAAATAATGCTTCATGTTGGAAAATAAAGACTTTCCTGATAATATTCAAAGTATTGAGCTTTAAATGTGGACTGTTGAAACTTTTGTTTAATCAAGTTGTGGTCATGGCTGATGTTTAAAAAAATGTTATACCATGTCAGGAGTGCAACAGAAAAACTGTAGTGTTGCCAAAAAAACATCGATTGTAAAATTCTGATAGAAAATTAAGACAAAAAAGAATTTTGGAAGTGTAAAATAATAACTGATATACATTTTAAAACTTAAAAATGATATATAAATCATAAGCAGCATTAATGAGAGTCAAGTATATGTGCATACCCAAAAATGTCAGGAGTGCAACATTTGATGTTTTGCTTCCAAGCATGAAAAAACTATTATCATTATATGATTTTCTGATTTTTATTTTGGAAAATAAAGACACAAAAAACATTTTTACCAAATAGATTTATCAATTACCGGATCTGTCTGTGCTTCAGACCCATATTTCTATGGTCAGGAGTGCAACACATTTTTTTAAAGATTCAAGTATTGTGACGAAAAGACTTCTATTCATGCTTAGAAGTAGAATTAATAATGATCTTTTTGTATAATTTAATGCTATATTATTGACAGTTTTATTATCAAAATCCTTCCTTTTTCAATTTTATCAATTCAGATGTGTTTTTATCTTTTTTGTGATTTTTTTAATGAACGTTAAAAATAAACACACTAAAACATTGTCATAAAATTCAAGTAATTCCTCCTCAACTTCACTGAAACAACAGAACAAGTTCTTTTGTAATTTTCACTTCACAATTCTACTTTAAAGGCCCCAATGCTTTTGGTCAGGAGTGCAACAAATATGTTAGAATTATAAATCATCCAATAAGATTAAAAATAAAGAAAAAATGATGAGTAGAATTTTTCTGGTGGTTTACTGTGTTTGTCTTCTAAAGGAAAATATGCTTTAAAATATATTTTATCTTCTAAATATACATTTAAGCTAGTTTTTTGGCATAAAATAGGGTATAATTCCAGATAAAATGCGAATTTTAAATCCTTTCATCTGTTTTAATTATGAAGTATTGGACTATAAGTATTGCACAATTTCATTACCACTTGATGTTGCCAACACTTTATGAATTTTTGTGTTCTATGGTTTTAATTTTAAACTTTACTGCAGTCAGGAGTGCAACAAAACTGCTTCATAATTACCAATGCTTTTTAACTATCTTTTCTAAAAAATAAGTTGAAAAAAAATGCTTGATACTATTTGATGTTCAAAACACTATGTCTATCAACAAATTACAGAAATTCTACAGTCAATTCAGGGAATAATTTTCATCATATCACATATATTTTAAATACAATTTATATATATTACACTTTGCAAATAGTCATGTTTTAAGGTCTTCAAAATATGAAAAACCTGCTGTAAACGATGAAAAATATCAACACGACAAATTGATTTAGAAAGTAAGAATGGGTTATTGTGTGTTATAATTTTTAAAACAATGTTAAATAAAATACATATCAGATGTCAGGAGTGCAACACAATAATGTAACATAGGGTGACTTCAAAATCTAGTATTTTTTGTAAGAGAACTCGTATATAACAATTCTTTTTTGGCTTAGATTTAAAGAATTGACTTGAACGGACAAAAAAGTGAATTTTGGGGAATTTTATTGCTTCATATTTTTTTCATATTAAAACTTTTCAAACCAGAATTGAAAAAATAATGTAAAATAACAATCAAAAAGCCAATTTTTGTCACATGTACAAGAGAAGATACTCATTCAAGGTCTAGATTTAATCATTTATACCCCTTTTACCATTTTGAAGCATAAAATACTAAAATTTCTTGCGATTATGTATTTTAGAAAGTCTTTTAAGGTGTAATGATATTTTCTTTTTTCAAAAGAAATTTCACTAATAAAATTTCTGAAACTTTTTAATCCAATTGTCTATTCTATTGCCACTTCAGGATTTTAAACTAGAATGCATTTGCAATATGATGATATAAGTGAAAAATATGTTATAAGTAGTTGAATTTTGCCAAAAAAATTCAGTTTGGTGGTCATTTTTTTTTGAATTCACCCATATACAGTATAACAAAAATTATCAGGCTGAGCAAGATTTTTGCATATATTGGGTACCTTACATCCTGTATGGACACAGATTATTAAAGCACCATCTTGAAAAGAAGTTAATTTTTGTGATCTCATACTTTTAGGCAAAAATGGGTGTTATTTAAGGAACGGTGGCTGTTCTCACTTGTGTCTGGCCAGAGGTGATGGATTTCGGTGTGCCTGTCCGGACAAACAAGACCCGAAATGGCCTTGTGTCACAGGTATGTCTTGTAGTGTAGTTCTAGCCTTATAAATCTAGTCAGGCCAGTACCTGTATGAACCCATAATGTTATTTATTAGTATGTAATAAACTGTTCCCTTCATGGACTTTGCATTTAGATTTTTTCATTGTACTTCTATGCTTTTGACAGTGCCCTATAAAGGTGAAACAATAAAAAAGAACAGCATTCATGAAAATGCAGAGGGGTAAGTTGTTTACATTTTGTTATATCAAATTTACCTTTAATTGTATGATAACAAAAATGATTAACAAAACATTTCATCACATTTCATAATTGTCAGTGGTCTTACACGTATTCACTAAATTTGAACATGTTGAAGTGCAAGGATAATTTTGATACACAAAAAAATAATCGGAGGGAAGTGGGGGTCAAATTTAATTGAAGGGGGTCAACTTGAACAAACTATTCATAGTATGATGGTCTTAGGACCAGGTTGTAATGAAGACATCTTGTCAAGCCTAACAGATGACATTGTGATCCTAGGTGCTTTATAGCTTGTGTTATTTACCAATACATATATGATTGCATTGAGTATGATCTGAAAAATGGCTGCATATGATCCACACATTTACCTTGTGAAACTTTGTACACTGTTCATTCACCCAATATGTAAAATTTTGTTTAAATTATTGTTGATGTTTTCATCTTGTACTGACCTGCATTTTCAGTAAAGGATTTCGGGACTAGCAAGAGCAAGTTATTTTTGTATCTGGTTTCTCTTGTATTTGTCCTCTAAAAGTTACACAAGTAACAAGAAATATCTACCTTGATTTAATTAGGGGTTATATACTGCTTGCAGTGGATTTATTTTGGAACATATTTCCTGACATTATACATATATATAAAAGGTATATTGCACTGATATGTATACTGCAGACTTCTAAGTAACTTTTCCATTATAAAATGTTTTTGTTCTTGTTTAGCTGCAGTGCTGAGGATTTTGCCAGGGGTCTATGTAAAACCCCTCCCCCTGCTATACCTAGCTCTGGAGGTAAGATTGGGTAACTAACAAGATATACATTGCAATTTACAATTATCTTCAGATATTAGAAGCTCAACAATAAGTTCATATCATAAATAAACAGGTCTGACTTGGTTACTAATGTGTAATTCATTTCCTTTAGAACGTCCAGAAACCAAGAAGGTCATGATTGGTTTAGGAATTGGAATTGTGGTCTTGGCTGTACTTATTATTGTTGTAGTCATCAAAGTCAAACACAGGTATACAAGAAATTGCACGAAAATATCAGCAATATCACATTTAAGGCCAAATGCAGAACATATAATGATTATAATAATTGATTTTGCAGGAAGAAGAAGAGGCAGACATACAGGGTAGAGAATGATGAATTGTCATCCCTGACCTTTGCTAACCCCACCTACCAAAAAACTAGTACAGAGACTATCAACATAGATAAAAATTCCTTATCTGGGTCACAAGAGTGGAAAATATTTAAATATAATAAAAAGAAGGTCAGTATTAGTTTCTTTTGTAAAAGGATAAAGAAATAGGTATGAAGGTGATCCAAAGCCCTATATAAGCTCTCATTTTCAAAAAAATATACATGTTTGTCATTGTGGTCTCTCGGTCTTTTTGCCTGTCTTAAAATGTGATTGGTTGAGGGACAGGCTGTGATGTCACAATGACTCATTAGGAATTATGTTTAGGTATATGCGCATGTAAACTGTACATCTAAAGGGAAAAAACAGTGAGAAAAGAAATGTGTTTCTGTATGCTGCAGAGTGAAATGAAACAAAACAACGATAACAAACAAATGGGATCTGTATTAAACTGCATCTACAGTTGAACTTCGGTATCTCAACACTGATATCTTGGATATCATGGATATGTCAAAGTGATTTTAAAGTCCCAAGTGCTTATTTCTTAAGTATAAGTATTTTCACTGGATATCTCAAATCCTCGGATATTTTCTTGGTCCTGTGAAGTTCGAGATAACGAGGTTTGACTGTAGTATACATGTATATGCACATATACAGTAGATAAACCTTTCAAAAGCAATGATTTTGGATCAGTTTGCAACTGCAAAAAAAAGCATTTTTTATATATCTGCGTATTAAAATTAAAGGGGAAAAAGTATCACAATTTAGAAGTGGTTATGTATGTGCCATATTTTCAGAATTATTTTTTAATTTACAGGAGAAAGTGTCCTTTGTGTTACCCACCAAAGATAAAAGTATAGTTAACTCAGAGAAGGCGGCCCTAGTTACACAGGTGGACACCCACACGGCCAGCCACACACACCACTGTCCCGAGAGAGTGGTCAACAAAAAGATTTTTAAACCCAAAACTGTCAAAGATGTGAACAAATCCAAACACAGTGTTCCATATAAACAGGTGGATACATAGTATCAATGTCTCGTGTTTACATCATATAGACAATTTACAACGGGTGTAGACAGTTGCTTCATCATTAAATGGAGTCTGTTTTGGCATTACAGAGCTTCCATGCATGTTAAATCATTTCACTGAATGTGACACAAAGCACAATATGTGAACATTTTCAGTTCCACTGGAGTTATTGCACAAATACATGTACTTGTGTTTTTAAGTCATGTTATCATTGCTGTTTACCATATGGTCCCCAGGTGTATTTGTTTTTAATGAAAAGTCCCAGGTGTTGTTGACCTGCTGAAATCCACATTAAATGGGGATTTGCTCATTGTGAAGTGTCAAATTTGGGACAAACCTTCTCTTGTGATCTAAATTTGGTGCTACAATTAATATGAAAATTTGTGTATTTAATGTTTTTAAGTATGAAGGCTCAGGCAGCTTTAGACATTTTTGAAGCCGTATCATACGATATATGTATCTGATATTTTAATTCTTGTTTAAATGATCTGTTGACTTGTTAATGTACTGCTAGTTGTAGTATTAAGAGTATTGTGTTATAGTTAACTAAAGGTTGATATTGCCATGAACTTTGTCATATTTTGATGTATTGCAATACTTTATGGCTTTATTGAGATAACATTGCAATATATTGTACTAATTTTTTTTTTTTTTTTTTATACAATAGGACTCTTTTAGGAAGTACTTAGATTTGTAAGATACATGTAATATGGGTAAATTTTATTAATTTTTTTATTATTATACATTGTATTTATTATGGCATATTGAAATAAAGAAAACATTTTTAAATAGAAACTTGGGTTCCTGTCCAGTCTATAAATAGCAGAAACTGTGTTCCAAAGTTTGTTTTTTGTGCAAGTATTTTATCAATATTTTATCAACTTATGTACAGTAAAAACTGTCTAATTCAACACCAGTGCAATCCATTTCACTGTGAATCCTGACCTTTATTTTTATTCCCACTTTACTTTTTTCCATGTTCTTTAACCTGTGCAGTCTTACACCCTGTCTATTCTGACACAAAATTTGTGTCCCAGTGCAAGTTGGATTAGATAAGTTTTACTGTATTTGGTTTTCATTCCATAACAGTCTAAGCTACAATTTATAAATAGATAATTTTAAGGAACAGATGAAAAATTTCCACATAATTTAAGGATACCAATTGAATGACTAAACAAGGTTGTTTTTTTTTCAAAAAGTGTCAAAATAATGTTAACACAGTCAGAATATTATGAATATTTAAGAATGAACATTGTGCAATTAGCTTCTAAAATGCAGCTGTGGTAATGTTTATATTTTCACCTAGTATTTTTTAATAGGAAAAAACAAGAAAACAACAACAAAACAAAAAAAAATTAATTTTTAAAATATATGCATCTCTATTGTTCTTGAAAGTCTGTCTGTCTGTTTGATCCTTTATTTTAGATAGGGATACTTGTAGTATTTGTGTATAAATGTTAAATGTAGATCAGTCTTGACAAAGTAAAAAATATGTAAAGTAAATAGAATATGTTAATTTTATGCAAAATTATATCCCCCCCCCCCCCCCCCCAGTTTTAGCAAATGTCAATAAATCTCATTGAAAGTTTAGCAGTAAACACACCACTTTATATGACTGTATCAATTTTCATGTAATTTGATTGGCAAAGCAATACGAAGTGTTTTTTTTTTTTTAAATCACATTCTTAGCTTTTCTTTCCTTGCAAAGCAGTGCATGTTGAAAAATATTTGCGCCGTTTGTCGCTTTAGTCGTTACCTTGTTGCACCTATGGAATGTGGGCGTAGATTGCGTCACTAGCGGAAAAAGCAATTTTAGTTGCATGGAGGGGGCACAACCAAACAGAAATTCAAAAAAGGGTTATTAGAGGCTATTAACAGAAAATTAGCTTTATTTTCTATTGCATAGTATAGACATGTATTGGTAAAATTATTTTTTTGGTGGTGGGGGCGGGGGGCTCACCTGGTCTGCTGGCCTGTTACCATTTATAAATGATAGAATGGACTTTAATTTCAGTGTCCAAAACGGGGAGGGGTTCTATGAGCACCAATGTGGGGGTTTTTTTTTTCGAAGTGCAAAATTGCATTTCTGGTCGTCAAAAATACTGTTAAAGTTGCCAGTGGAGGATGAGCAGAGTTATGTAAAGTTGTCACAAAATCCTGTGGAAATTACTCTTACAAAATGAACAATGTTCAGATTAAGTTAATCGTTATTTTTTTCTGTTTCTTTGACAATTTAGCACAAGTACGCATCGTCTTTCACTTGTATAAAATTCGTGTGCATCATGGTGACGTCAAACGTACTACTATCTGGAACATGTATACTTGAAACATGCTTTGTCCGGGCGTCATAAGCTCCAGTAGACCAAGTGCCGTCATAAAATTCCCTCATTCATATTAATTTGATAGGGCGCTTAAGGTCAAGGGTCACCACGCTGACTTATAGTCCTTTGGTCAATGTAGGACAGTCATTTTGGCAAAGTCAATATGATACTCCGTTCCTTGGTTAGGATTCTGGCTGCTGTGCTGGTTATTGGTGGGGGTAAGGAACTTGTCTATATACACCTTTATATTTAAAGTTTTATCATATTTTACTTAAAGTATATTTTTTAATAGTATTTTGCACGTGACCAGTAATGATGTTAAATACTAGCTTTTGTGCTAGAAATCATTTGAAATATTTTTTTTATGACCGAAATATTACTTTTTACTGATATATCTGAATTGATGTTTATTATTATTAATTTCTTATCATTAAATCATTAAAATTAAAATTTCCAAGTCAAAGATGGAAAATCAGTTGAGTGAAAAAAGTGGTTGACCAACGCACACGAAAAAAAAGTTTGTTCCGTCGGATCTTCTCAAATTTTTAGAGTTACATGTACTAACAATCGATAAATAAATAAATAAATAAGAGATGAATGATTAAATAACTGAATAAATTAACATAAATGAACGAGAAAGTAAAAGAATTTTATTTTTAACAAAAATTGTTGAGAAAAAGAAAAGCAGGAAGAAAGAAAATAACGCGTAAAGACTATTTCTTGTTTGTAATCTGTTAGCGGAACAGACAGAAATGAACGTGACAAATTAAAGAGAGGTTAACGATAAAATGGACATTTTACGATGTCCTCCGTCTTATTTGCCTTCTGACTTCCTGACACGTAAAAAGTGCTTATAAATAAAAAATAATACACATTGCTAGAAATACTACTGCAGTAGGAAAATCCGTATGAAGCCCTATATAGATAGGTGAAAACACTCATATTTTGAAAAATATCAATCAGTCATATATTTATAGTAAACTTTTTTTAAGCTTGACGACATAACTTACATTAAAATTTTATTTAGATTTATTTTTGGGAGGGGAGGGTTCTATAATGAAGTATACTTTCTGTGAAAGAGCAGACCCTATAATTTTGCTTATTTTTCTTTGTAATTTTGCTTTTTTTTTCTCTGTAATTTCGCTTATTTCTTTATGGTACATTTTCTGCTTTTTGCTTTGTTAATTTATGTATTCACCTTGACCTTAATATAGGAAGAGGGCTAAAATAGGCTGAGTCTGGTCCAATCCTATTCACCTCTGTGAATAAAATACTGTTTAAATTGGACCCTCCTTCATAGATTTAAAAATTGAGACAGAAGACTTGTCATACGTATTATACAATCTAAGAATAAGAAGTCCAAAACCATTATAGACGACTAACGGAACTGTATTATAAAAAATAACTAATCAAATATATAGGAGTTTTCAAAGCGACGTCGTTTTTGCTTACCACGTTAATTAGGATCAAGCTCAATATACTGTCACCACGTCACGTCATCTGATCGTAAAAATGTTGACACAATTTGTATGTAATTATTATTAGGTGATTAACACAGACAGCATAATCACAAAACAGTCTGATACAAATGTTTACAACAGTCCCCGGGACATACTAATTTTTGTTTGTTAATTATGATATAATTATTGTCTAAAATATTTGTTTCGCCAAAATATGCCACAGGCTTAATATAAACACTTCTGATTTTATTGTCGCCAGGAATATATTTACTTGATAATATTCGGAAGTACTACATTTTTGTTTTAACCATTATATTATGTTACAAATAAAAATAATGAATAAACGCAACAACGCAAAAAAAGCCAGATCAAACGATGTTAAGGTTTAAGAAAATGATTGATGTATTAATTGAAACTTCTTTTCCGTGATTATGTTTATTAGAGCAGTGTAGAAATGAAAAGGTTTGACAAGAAAATGAAACAGTTAACAACCATGATTATTTATAAGTTGGAAGAAAAGCCTGTAAAATCCATATCTTAAGCCAATGTCAAGGACGACTAGTAAAATGGAAGCACCATGGAATTTTATCATCCCTGATGGTCAATCAGTCAGTAATGAATATATTTTTTTGGAAAACGGAACATTACTGTTGATGGATTCTTGCGCAAGCGCGTGTAACAAGAAAAAAATACAAGCAATCGCGCGCATTTATAACGACCAACTAACTACATGGTAACTTGCAACAGAAGTTCAGCCTTTTAATAACAGTTATATGTTCTTCTTCTTGGAAGTTTTAATTTAGATATACCCCTTTCCCGAAAAAAAATAAGAAAAGAGCTTTTAAGTGTAAAATTCGATGACTGGGAAAGGAAAAGTTCATTAAATGGACTTGAACGAATATCCCTGCTTTTAAGATTTTGACACGAACGGGGGCACGTATCAAAAATATTTGAGTAGAGGTAAGAGTTAAGGGAATCTCGGAATAATCCGAATATAGCTCAGTGACACAACAAGTTATACCCAACCTACATAACAATTTCCAAAATAATCTTACCAATACCATTTCATCATTTCAGGAAACGTTTGGTGTGTTGACATCGATAGGATTGCCAAAGATCTAAAAATAACATATGACGTAGTACGAAATGGAGTACTCACGCCGTACGCAACAGTAACTTATTTTGCTAACGTGACTCTAGAGAATGTTGGTACGAAACCAATTCCTGCCGCAAACTGGAGCATTTATTTTTGTCATCACACCCTCATTCAACCTGTGTACTATAATGCTACAATAAACCAGTACATTGGAGGAGGCCTCATTCTTTCTGGAAATATAACTTTGACGCATGTCAAAGGTTGTATGTTTAAATTTGACCCATATAATGGTGACAACAAAGTTTTCCAGAACCTACCATTGCAACCAGGAGATCTCCGAAATATTTCATTCCTAGCTTCAAACTGGGCCATATCCCGATATGACATATTTCCGAACTGGTATCTGTCAAATGGTACACATCAGCAAATTATTGAAAATACCAAAAGCCCAGATGCAACATTCGTCTCCCCTCACACTACTTTTGTTGAGTTCATGAGGGGTATACCGAACGATGTTACTGGTATACCGCCTTCACCATTCGAACGTTACCGGGGATACAACTTCACTGACCTAGAATCCATCAAAACGTCCATCCTACCAACCCCAGTCAAACAAACGCTTGGAAATGAAACCGTTACTATTGACAAGAAATGGAGAATAGACAGGGATCGTTTCAGAATTCTATCTGGAGTCGCCAAGTACTTGCAAAGTAAGACGGTCTTGTATTCTAAAAACAACGGATGTATTTGAGTGTTGAACCATTATGTTCATACTTTTTCTTTTAAATTTCACTGTACTGTCGTTTTTTTTTTCAGAGTCTATAAAGGGATCCAAAATCAGGAATCTGAAACCTACCTC